GGTATTTCAGGTAGCCGTTCGCTGCGAATTATCCGCTGGAGACTGTAGCAGTTCGAACTACTTCTCAATGATGGTCTGGGAAGGCTTGCAGCGTGGTCCCCCATATGCAAATAAAATTAACTTTGACCATGTCATCATCCAGTCCTTTGGCCAAGAAATGGCCGGTTGCGTGACTTGGTGTTCGTTGCGGCGCGTTATTAGCCATCTTGGCCTCTAGTTCTCAGGGAGTAGATCCGCCAATGAAGCCAAAAGCTAGCTCAAGTGCGTTGCAACCGTAACGACATTGACTCTTGAAAAGTTTGATGGAAGCCCATGAAATACTTTGCAAGAATTTATGCCGGATGGAATGCCTTGGGCCAAGGTCGCACACCAACCATGTGACCTGCCGCCCAAATAGGAAATGAGTCTAGTAAGATCAGGTCGTGACTCTTCTGTTTCGTTTTTTCTTCTTCTAAACCCCCGGAACAATCTGTGAATCAATAAACATTAACTTCTACAAGAGGGTCTTGGCGGAACAACAACTGGGACTGTTATCTCTCATGGCGCTGATCACCAGTCGAACAAATTAAGGACAAAATTCGAGATTAATTCTTCGCTTCCCCGTTGATGAATTGTTTATATCCATAATACTCCGTCGACGAACTCTTCAAGAGGCTCAAAACCGTGTGAAAGAGAAGTCTGACGGGACAGCATCCGACGCAGCCACTCATCGGGTTCCAGCAAAATCGATGAGTCGAAACGGTGCTCTCGGACGACCAGGTGTGGTCGCCTTGCAGGGTCGGCATATGTAAGCCAAGCTGCTACCGACCTTGCTATTTCCGCATGCGGATATACCAACCCTTCAGTTTCCGTGAGAGGAGCGTTCTTGGCCTGCCTCGCACACCTCGGGATGACTGGCTGTGCGCTCTCGGCGCCAAGACTGCCGAGAGGTATCAGGCCGATTGCTGTGGTATGACGCCAGAAGGGAAAGGATTGCTGTCGGAGCCTTGAGCTTTGAACCTTCTGTCCAACTGACCTGTCGCTTTTATCGTGATGATCCCCGCTATCCTTTTTCCGGTCTCTCTTGGATCGGGCATACCTACAGGGGAATGGTGCAGCTACGTTTCTCGAACCACATGGCTTACTTATATGCACTACCGCTGCTTATGCCTGCATGACTCCGCAAGCCAGTTATGTTTCTGCGGATAATCAATGTTGGCTCCCGTTCTGCTGTAACTCGCGTTTGTCGTCGTAATAACCTCCTCTAATCCCGTAGTGCCCTGTCAGCCCGTCAGCCACGAAAGGCCGCGAAGCGACTAGTTACACTGATGAAAATCACTAGATCAATCAATCCCGCCGCACTGTCCGTTCGTCGTTGCATAGAACCAACCACATAACCACACAACATTGGCAAAGTGGGCCCTGGGCGGCAGGCTAGGTTTCCCAAATCAAGTCGTCCGGGGCTTCCAAGGACGCCACTGGTGAGTTCTTTGGACTCCAAGCCTCTTGGCCTGGAGACAGTATGGAGTCAACGGGCAAAGTCTCTGGGGTGCGTGTTAGCTAATCTGGGGAGGGCCGGTCATCATGCGGAGTCAAATCAACCTGACTGGTCAGCAGAATGGCACGGTGACCATCCCTGTTATTGTATGGGCGGCGGCTCTTCGGCTGAGCGCTTGGAGACGTTAAAAGCGACGGCCTGCCGCTGTCTGAGATCGCGTGGCCCCAGAATTTTCTCCTTCTGCTGCATCTCATTTGCCTACCGTATCCTGCACCTCTTCTTAGACACATTGACCCACGGCTTGGTCCTCCGATCTGAGGTGCTCCGCACCTAGACTCCTGTCATGGATAAGAAAATCAATGACCCTGAAGCGCCTGCCTTGACGTCTCGGCATCTTGAATCAGTCGAGAAACAAGATGCAGCGGAGACAGCCCGGGTTTGGTCTCGGGATGTTATACAAAAGGATACTAACACCAAGCTGAAGAACCCCCTCGTAGGGTTGACTCGGGAGGAGCTTTACCGCGATGTCGAAGAGTTTGCTCGGGAGAAAGATCTCGAGCACATAGTGGAACAGCTCAAACGGGGCGCGCTGGTGGCCCAGGATCCGAAAGCCTTTGAGGAATTGAGTGAGTTGTCTGAAGGGGAGAAGGAACTCCTCCGACGCGAGAAAACGCACAGATGGAATCAGCCTTTTATGATGTACTTTATGACCAGTATGCACCCATTCTCGCAGGAAACATGGTCGTTTTGATTCTAATGATCTGCAGTTCTCTGCGCTGGTTCCGCAATTGTGCAGGGAATGGATCAAACCGCCGTGAACGGAGCACAAGAGTGAGTGAAATCCACTAATTCAGGTTACGATCCTAAGCCTAACAGTAGCCAGGTATTACTTTGAGGAGTTTAACCTCACCAATTCGTGGATGCAAGGCCTAGTGAATGGCGCTCCATATCTTTGTTCAGCTGTTATCGGTTGCTGGACTACAGCTCCGCTAAATCGCTGGTTTGGACGACGCGGTTGTATTTTTATCTCCTGCTTTGTCTCGTTTGCTTCCTCCTTCTGGATGGCAGCCGCCCACACCTGGTGGAATCTCCTGCTGGGTCGCTTCTTGCTAGGATTTGCGGTGGGTGCGAAGTCAACGACTACTCCAGTCTACGGCGCTGAATGTGCGCCGGCTAATATACGTGGTGCCCTGGTAATGATGTGGCAGATGTGGACGGCATTCGGTATCATGTTGGGCTATATTGCTTCTGTCGCGTTCATGGATGTGACTCATTCAACCATCCCAGGTTTCAACTGGAGGCTCATGCTGGGGTCAACCGCCATTCCGTAAGTTTATTCCATGGGGGTGACCCACTCCGGAGCTTTATTCTGTCTGAATTAACACTCCCGAGTCCGTTCTTCGTTTGTATCCAGGTTTATATGTGCCCCGAGTCACCGCGATGGTATATGATCCGCAACCGCTACCAGGACGCGTTCAAGGCACTTTGCAAGCTGCGCCCATCAGAATTTCAAGCTGCGAGGGACCTTTACTACATTCACTCCGCCTTAAAAGTGGAAGAGAAGCTCCGCGAAGGCAAACACCTCTGGCGCGAGATGTTCACCGTCCCCCGCAACCGGCGCGCCGCCCAATCATCTTTCTTCGTTATGTTCATGCAGCAGGTTCGTCGTTACGGGGATTTAGGCCGCATCTGTATCGCTAACATCGTGTATAGTTTTGCGGCGTCAACGCAATAATGTACTATAGTTCGAGTATGTTCCGAGATGCCGGGTTTGACCTCCGAACGGCGCTTGTTGTGTCTCTCGGATGCGGCATCACGAACTGGATATTTGCTCTCCCGGCGGTGTATACAATCGATACCTTTGGTCGGCGCAACCTTCTCCTGACCACGTTCCCTTTGATGTGCCTGTTCCTGCTCTTTACCGGCTTTTCTTTCTACATCCCCGATCAGACTCCTCGGACGGCCTGTGTCGCAACCGGGATCTACCTGTACATGATTGTTTACTCGCCGGGGGAGGGACCTGTGCCTTTCACATACTCCGCCGAAGCATTCGTGAGTTAATTCTTGCCCTTCTCCCCTGTCGCCGACTCAGGCTAATCTAAACAGCCGTTGTACATCCGTGACATTGGCATGTCGTTTGCAACCGCCACAACCTGGGGCTTCAACTTCATCGTGTCGCTCACATGGCTCCCTCTGCGGGATGCATTCAGTGTCCAAGGGGCGTTCGGGTGGTACGCGGCATGGAACTTTTTTGGGTGGATTTTCTGCTATTTCTGCCTGCCAGAAACCAAGGCGCTTTCCCTGGAAGAATTAGATCAGGTCTTCTCCGTGCCTACTACTAAGCATATCAATCACTATCGTGGCATGATTCCATGGTATGTGAAAAAGTACATCCTCCGTCGGGATGTGCCACCACAGAAACAGCTGTATGATTACGAGTGATGTCAATCAAGGCTTGCGTTTGGAATGATGGGGGCACTGGACTCACGCGTCAGGAGTAGACGATTGATGGCAGTATGGATATTAATAAGGATTCCGGTACTAATTAATAGGATGTGTTGGAATGGTTTTTGTTTTGCTTGCGCTGCTTGTTGTCCCCACCGGTGGATCATGATTAAGTAGTAGTTAGTAGTAGTAATGTGACTACTGCGAATTATCAATCTGAATACCTTTGTCACCATTTAAGGTTTAAAACCCTGACTTATCTGTTCTCCATGCTGTCACCCGACCGAGGTTAGTTCAGGACTCCAGGTAATAGTTTGCCGGGACGACTCCGGGTTGACGGAGTCCGTTTCCCGTTAAAGTTTCCGGGGTTCAGCATCTGGATCGGCCTGGATGACCAGTGGTGTGTGGTGGAACTGTAACCGAACATTCCAAAGAAGCCGAGAGGAGAAAGCCATTGGTCCAGTACCTGCAGGACGCCCCCGACCCTAAGGCAGTCTAAGGCATCCTAACTTCCTAAGTTCATTCAACTGAAATTTTCTAGGTTAGTGTGGCTGACGATCTGGCATCCTGAGGCATCCTATTGGGTGAAATGTGGCGGTGGCACTCCACATGGGCGCCACCCGACCGGAAACTAATTAGGTAACGGATTCAACACACACTTGCAGAATATTCCCTCTTTGCTCCAGGCGAAGGTGAGTCAGGCGATAATCACCATGCTTTTCTGACGTCGAACTGGATGCAATGGCGCTCTTCTTTCATTTCCCTTAGACAACGTCTTCCCCAGAGTGATTAATCTCGACCGGCTGACGAACGTGGAGTACGTACTTCGGACCGTTGATGTAACTGTGCGGTACTATCCATCAACCTCATTCTCCGCTTCTTCACCCGGTTTTTCCTTTTTCTCTCTTTCTCTGTTAGCTTGTTTTTGTTTTCCGTGACCGCTTTCCTTTCTTTCCCGGTGCCCCTCTGCATCCGGTTTGCGATTGAGAGTCATCTCACGCTGGTCATTAGCCACCTTAATATCAAAACTTTTTCCCCCGAAGCGCACTCATGGCTCCCTTGCCGGATTATCATGGAAGCGCCGTATCGAGTGACCTGAATCAGGACGCAGAATATGATATCAGCGGCAAGGACACGGAAAAGCAGCAAGAGGAAAAAGGCCGTCCGGAATATCAGGACACCTTTGGTGATGAAGAATACGCCGAGGTGAAGTACAAGGTGTTAAGCTGGTGGTATGTTGTCGGACGATCTCAATTCTCAAATAGTTTCCAGCTTACTGACCGGCTTCATGCAGGCAATGTGGTTTTCGTGAGTAAATCTCTTGGAAGTAGTGTTCGGGAAAGTCTACTGACCGTTATGAGTGATGGTCGCGGAAACGGTGTCGTTGGGGATTCTCTCGTTACCCGCCGTGGTTGCTGCCTTAGGCCTTGTCCCGTAGGAAGCCCCATTCCTGGATGCTCTTTTCATACTGACACTCACCAAAAGTGCTATTATTCTTCTGCTCGGCCTCGGCCTCCTGGCAACTTATACTGGTTATACCATTGGACAGTTCAGATGGCGCTATCCTCACATCCAAAGCATGGCCGATGCCGGCGAAGTCCTTCTCGGCAAGTTCGGGCGCGAGTTCTTGGGAACCGGTCAGCTTCTGCTGGTCATTTTCATCATGGCTAGTCACATCCTTACCTTTACGGTGGCCATGAATACTATCACAGACCACGGAACCTGCTCCATTGTCTTTGGTGTTGTGGGTCTAGTCATCTCATATATCTTATGTTTACCGCGTACATCGTCCAAGGTGTCGTATCTCTCTATTGCTTGTAAGTGACTACTACCACTTCGGAGTTCTAAAAAGGGGATATACTCACACTCCCCTAGCTTTTATCAGTGTCTTTAGCGCCGTAATGATTGTCATGATTGCCCTTGGCATCCAACGCCCGTGGCATGGTGGGGTCCAGGCAACCGTCGACACCAGCCTGTACAAGGCGTTCCTTGCTGTGTGCAACATAGTATTTTCTTTCTGTGCGTTTCTCTCCCATCATATGTCCCTTCAGGCTCACTAACATGCAGTTTAGCGGGCCATGTTGCGTTCTTTGGATTCATGTCCGAACTCAAGGATCCAAAAGAATACCCCAAATCTCTCTTTCTTCTCCAGGGCATTGATGTCTGCCTATACATCGTCACGGCTATCGTTATTTATTACTATGCTGGCCAGGACGTAACTTCCCCTGCTTTAGGGTCTGCTAGTCCCGTGGTGCGCAAGGTGGCCTACGGCATTGCGCTTCCTACGGTGAGCCCATCAACGATGTCGGTTGGAAGAAGTTATGTTTTCTAACATCACCATCAGATCATTATCGGTGGAGTAGTCAACGGCCATGTCGCGTGCAAGTACGTCTACGTCCGTCTATTCCGTGGCAGCGACCGCATGCACAAGAAGGATCTAGTGGCCACCGGGTCTTGGGTGCTCCTTATGTTGCTCTTGTGGATCGTGGCCTGGGTCATCGCGGAGGCGATTCCAGTCTTCAACAATCTTCTGAGCTTAGTTGTACGTCGTTTTGATTATTCCGCATTTCCACGATATATCCAACTGACATATATTCTAGGCCTCTCTCTTCGCAAGCTGGTTCACCTGTATGCACTACCAAAATCTCCCCTAGTCCCCCCCCCCCCCCAAAAACATCCAATACTAACAAAAGAACTAGATGGCCTCAGCGCCACATTCTGGCTCTATCTCAACAAGGACCGTCTCTTCGCGACGCCGATGAAAATCTTCCTCACCATCGTCAATGTCCTTATATTCGCGATCGCAGGATGCATCGTATGTTCTTCCCATGCTATCCCGACTGTCCTCTCTGTTCCTCGCTAACTCACCCCATAGTGTGGTCTCGGCCTGTATGTTTCCGGTAAAGCATTGCATGATGACCCCAGTAGCGCTAGTTTCTCGTGTGCAAATAATGCTTGATCTTTTGCATTGTTCCAGCATCGGGCCGGAGTTGTTGTATTATACGCATCAATAATTGTATCTATAGATCAGATTTGTTTGGAATGAATTTACAGCCCGCATGGAAGGCGTCCTTCATGTTAGTAACGTATCGATGAGAAATGGTGGAATACCGTCTACCCATCCGCTTCCCTTTTGGCACAGGTGCCTTACACGTGATCTTGAGTCACGGGCAATATTGCCTTTTTGGGTAACTAGCTACGGGCAACACATAGTCGGGATTTGGGCATGACGATGGCCTTAGGTCTAATACCTCTATGTGGTTGCATATATCGAATAGATAGGTACTTGTGTGATCATGGACATGCTGCCGAGGTTAATATAACTTATAGCTGTGAAGTAAAGTTTATTAGAGTACTCTTTTAAGCTTTAACTAGTATACATCTCACTTTAAAATATATATATATATAAAGTTATGAACGCAATTTTGTTGTATATAAACTCTGTAGGATTGGCTGCTTCATTCCGTATTATTTGAAGTTTCAACAAATAGAATAGCCCTTCACTATTGTGGTAGGGGTGAATGTAATGTTTGAATCATGAGTAGGAAGTAATTGTGCCGCGCTGATACCTATAGGCGATAGTGCGTTATAGTAACGGAGGGAAAAACCATCCATAATGACCCTTTAGCTGTGTTGTTGCCTTCATCTAATAAGGTTCCTTACAGGTATAGTATTCACGAGGGATCTAGACAAGGTAAAGCTAATTGAATTTTACAGCTTCTATGTCAACCCGGTCTTCTTGTCTGCGGGTTGCGGCTGCTAGGACTGCCTAAACACGTTCTCTCACAAATGTATAAAGCAAGTGGTTGGATTGTAGATAAGTTGGGAAAGGGCTTGCTAAAGGAAATAGATACACCGCGGATAAAGACCAGCATTTATAATATAAGCGATAATAATACAGTAACGCTTGGAGCCTTATACACGTGGAAGTAATGGTGTTTGTTCAGTAGGTTGTCCGTTCCCATCCCTCTTGTCATCGGAAACCACCTGCCGAGTTTTTCCCCACCCAAACGAGTCTAAATAATAGCAAGAGTAGAACAGGATTGCTACGTTGACGAATGGACCACAGAAAACATATAGGAGGCAACCGATCCAAAAGCGGAAGGTATCGTGCCATTGCTTACTGTGCCAGGTGGGGATGATCACATAGTAAACAATGGGGATCAAAGCAATGGCAATGAAGCAGAAGATTATCCATGCCTTAACATCTATAATGTGGGAAACGTTAGATTGATCTCCTTGCGAGTGGGGGGTGGTAGATGAAACCTGCTATACTCACAAAACATTGCCATGATAAATCTAGCCATGCTGGCGAAGATGAACACATTAAGAAACCATGTCATCACATTAGTGCAAGCAAGGATCCTTTCGAACCATTGCACACCAGGAGCACAGGATAAAAACAGATCATTCGAGGTAGCACCCAGTGTCCATCGCCTCCGTTGAGACAGGAAGACTGACCACGTCTGTGGGACGTCTGTATATGCTATCGCATGGAGCGCCTGACGAGTCTGAGTCCGCGGACGAGCCGAGAGCATATGGCAGACGTGATTACGGTCTTCACTGGCAGTGGCTCGAACATGTCGCAAAGCTCCATCTGTAGGGACAGGGCAGTATCCAAATCTCTTGAACAGCACTTCGCGCCCACAAGACTCTTCACAGATCTTCAACAGCTGGCAACACCCGGGAAGACAAGATACTTTATGCGTAACCACAGACTGGTGAAGGCGTCGTAGACATTGGGCAATCGTGTATTCTGCTGACTGGTATAACCTCCAAGGATCCCAAAAGTTGTCTTTCCAGGCCACGGCAACATAGCCACATACCCCTACGGTGTCCTCATACCGAGAACGTCGAAGTAGTTCGCTAATACAGTGGACATCAAATTCTGTATCGGCATCCATCCCAATTAAGTTGTCAATATAATCAATCCCTGACCCCTTGATGAACGAAGCCATGTGGCCAAATAAAGTCGACGTGAATATAGTCTCCGGATATGTATGGCGGATATTGTAGTTGTACAAAAAGGACCGTACTGCGATTAAACTATCGCGCTTTCCTTGATTTTGCTGTTTGATAATGCAAAAGTACGGCACGCCGTGGTAGGCCCCCCTCTGAACCTCAACGTCCATGAATTGTTGATCCCATGCCAGATAAGCCTTAGAAATCCTAGCCCGGTATTCTCTCTGGGTGAGAATATCCTCGAAAAGGTATTCTGCGGTTGTCTTCTCCATGCCAGGACCACGAGCTTTGCCATCACAGACAATCATAATACAACGCCGATGATCTGAAATGCCTTTTTGCATAACGAGTGAATTCAGTGACCGTTCCATCTCGTCCTTCGTTTCGTTATAGCATGGAATCAAGAGGACTAGGCTTTCGGGAGTCATTGGTACCAGCGGCTTCTCTGGGTAATACCGACAATGCAGTAGGTTAACCAGCAGAGCGATGATCATGACGATATTCATCATAACACCAGCAGATATGAAAGGCATGAGAAGGTACCAATACTGTGGGAACCACCAGGTAGCGAAAATTCCCAATCCACTAGGAACATGAATTAGCGGATGATTTTGCATTTTGAGAAATGGCAGGGATAGGCTTACTTGGCTGTGATGATAGAGATCTGAAATATGTATTTTTGCAGTAGGATTCTTCTGTGGCCCCTCTTGCGCTCTTCTGGCGTAACTTGCGGACGTGGCATTGCTTCCTTCGTCGTGATACAGCCCGCCCACTCCTCCAGACGTTCATCTAGGGTCTCTCGGTTGTTTTGCGCATTACCGCGTACCGGGGTGCTTGAAGCGACCTCCTCATTTCTGCCAATGTCAATTGCACGCGCCGATACTCTATTGTCTGGAGAGGCATCAATGTCCTCGCTCAAGGTACCGTAATTGTCGCGGTGTACGTGCTGACCATGCTTCGATTGCGGTGGCATCGTCAATCTCCGTACCATGGGCAATAGCGTTTGGTGAATGACTGTTTCTTTACCTCTATTTTCCCTTTTCCCTCCTCAAAGTTTCACCGGCCAGGATGGTGTAAAGCGGTCGTAGGTCGTCACACACCACTACTATGTCGAATCCCGATGGTCGGTGCTCACGTCGTCTTGCAATGCATTCCTGCACTACCGGCTGGTACAGCTTATGAGAAAATGGAGACCTTGTCTGATTGAACTAACTATGGCGGCTGGCTTTTGATTATATGCATGGTTTAGGATGATGTGATGAGTAGAGAGGGACGCAAAAGGCCCCACTACAATGGTTGATCATTACCTGTTATATGATACTTCGCTTCCATTACCTACTGAGTATGTTCGCAGAGCTGAACCGGAGTCGAGAAGATCGACCCCTAATACCCTGGACTCCACTAAGAGTTGCGCGACACAAGAACTTGGGTGGGTGTCTTACGATTTCTTTGGAATACATTCCAGTATCGTGTCGTATTTTGTGCTGGTGGCGGGTATGCGGAATGAAGAGGCTAGCTGAGAGACACCGTAGTAGTACTGAGATAGGGTGCCAAAAAAGATCGAGCTGAATCCCTGTGGGGGTGGTTGTATGTATATCATTTCCTTTTTTATGAACCCTGGCTCCGATAGCAGTTCCATTCACGACCTGTAAGTGGGAACTGCTCCACAGGGGATCAACAACTGATCTTTTCGCACCCTCACAGGAACCAATAAAACATCCGACATGCCGCAAATCAAAGATTCCGAAAGAATACATATCACATTCACCATGCTACTAGTACGAAGTAGTAGCTCTTGAATTACCCAGCAGTATGGTTACGTGTGATACGTATGCTATAAACTTACTCCGTAAAATGTGCCACGAATCCACTCCCCTTCTAAATGAGATTAGGATCCATATATTAAGCACACCCTATCTTAGCCATTGCTAGATCTAATTAGAAATCAAGGGAAATATTTTCCGTGGCACTATTGGGTTATAGTCGACTCCGTAGGGTGAGCTGCATTCCTTCGGCTCCTCAAAAAATTGGGACTTTCGGCAAAGACAACTAATTCCCTTCCAATTATATGTCAATTCACGATCGGGTTCCGGCAGGCAATCTCAACGACAACTCTACATTCCGGCACTTTGCATTGGTGACATGAAAGCCACACTGCCAGATGTCTCCTGCTTCAAGCTGCATGGGAATGGCTGTTCTCAAGGGGGGATATCCGAGCCAGCTTCCTTAGAAAGCAATGGCCTGTCCACGCCTCCTCCTGAAAGTAGTTCAGAGGAGTGCCGACCTGAAGGCGACAATGTGAGCAAGAAGTCTTTTCACGCACATGCATATGACCCTATCATTGCGGTTATTGGCGTTGGCTATATCGGCCTCGAGCTTGTATCTGCGTTCGCCAGGGTGTACAACAACGTCATCGCCTTTGATATCAACAGTCAGCGCATCGAAGAGATCCGCGCGGATTTAACCAACAAAAATGTAAAAGCGACAAGCAACCCTTCCGATATTGCCATGGCTACACACTTCTTGATATGTGTCCCCACCACACTCCATCACGGCTGTATTGATACGACACCCTTGCAGAGCGCAATTAGCATACTGTCGGAATATGCCCGTCCCGGATCAACGGTGGTTATCGAAAGCTCAGTCGCTGTGGGCATGACACGACAGCTGCTGAAAGATGTTATGAGATCGTGTGGCCTCATGGCTGGCATGTCTCCGGAGCGAGTCGATCCAGGTCGAATCTCCCCTGCATTTGAAGATATCCCCAAAGTCGTCTCTGGTTTGGATGATATCGCACCTGGATCGTTAAAAAGCATAGAAAATTTGTACGAGAAAGTTTTCCGTGATCTAGTTCCAGTCTCGTGTCCCGAGGTGGCAGAGATGACGAAGTTGTACGAGAACTGTCAACGCATGGTTTGCATTGCCTATGCAAATGAGATGGCAGATGCATGCCAATCCATCGGCATAAGCGCTATGGAGGTTTTCACGGCAGCGGCCACAAAGCCGTTTGGGTATCAATCGTATTTCCCGGGACTGGGGGTTGGCGGAAATTGTATCCCTGTGAATCCATATTACCTCCTGTCTACCTCTAAGCTTCCTCTGCTGCAGGCAGCCACGGAGGAAATGACCAAGCGCCCCAAAAAACTGGGAAACCGAGTGATGAAGAAGTTTTACTGTAATCAAGCCTCCAGCACAACGCCACGGGTTGCACAGGCCCGAGTCCTTGTCGTTGGTGTAGGGTTCAAGCGTGGACAATCCGTTCTCAGCAACTCTCCTGGACTTGCACTTATCCAGCATTTGAGGCATGAATGGGAGGCATACGTCGAATACGCCGATCCTCTGGTTTCGCAGGAAGCGTTGCCATTCATTCCAAAACTAGATGAAGTGAGGCGATGGAATGAAAAGTCGTTAACAGAAGAATTCGACATCGTTCTAGTCGCGGTTGACCAGCCGGGGCTGGATCTCACGGTTCTACGAAAGTTGGATGGGGTTTTGGTCGAGAATTTCACGTCTTCCGTGGCGGCCGGGTGGTCCCAATAGCCAGTTCTCCTTGGGACTTTGGTTTGTATACTGCTTTCTGGTTTTGTTATACATGTAATATCTGCTTTTCTTACTATCGTCCTTTACTCTCTCCCCTCCTTTCATTTCACTTCCTCCTTTATGCTTCTCCTGGGAGAAACGATAGTGGGTGAGGGCAAAAGAATACAAGTCCTTGATACCGTTGTTTAAGGCATGTCTACATATTATATCCCGATCAGCTGTTGACCCCTTCCATTTATTGCCATTCAGTGCTACAGGCCCCCTTATGGGTATCCGAGACACTCTTGTGCGCGAGTTAAACAGAAGACTGAAATGATCCCTTGACTGCATCTCCTCAGAGGGTTAAATGAAACAAAAGAGTACACTATATAGTGGGACTGACCTCTGATATACCTTCTATATCGATATCTGTTACTATTGATTTGTATTGTTAAATGGACTTTCATTAGAATTAGATCCTGAAGCCTTGATTATTACGTATCCAACCTGCAACACTCCACCCAAATGGATTAGTTGAAACTATTACAGTTCTTAGACATAAGACCCACAAGTACCACAACTGCACCACGGTAAGTTCCGATGCACTTCCGGGGTGCAGTCTATATCTTGCAACTTTGATCACTGTTGATTGATTAGTTTATTAACTGATGTTACCCCCAGCCGAGGATTTTCCGGTCCAGCACGACATTCAGCGACAAGTACTTCGTTCTCGCTGGACCGCATTTCTTCGGCCTTGAATTAGCCTCCCTTTCAATTCCGTAAGGCAAATGACGATCAGCAATCTGGCCACCCGGCTAATTTGGCAAAATTGCTGTCTCACCTGCAGAGTGGGTATTCCCTGACTTATCTTATCTGATTGATAAAGACCCTGATCAGAGGGCCTGGGTTGGTGGAAGGATTCCATTGTGTAATCATCTCGGCCGGTCGTTGTATAGTGCTGGATAGAATCAGGGTTCTTTCAAGTGGATACAGGCGGAAGCCGTTGTTGGAGGTTGTACCGACCTCGGGGAAGATATATCTGACAATAGAAGTGCATATAAACTGGTCTGGGTTCCCGGCTAGGTGGTGATATTATAACGGTAATTCTTCTCAACACCTTCAAATCCCGGTCTTGTATTGAACTTCTTTTTTCTCATTTCTCTTTCCCAAAAGTTGACTCTGCCTTCACCATGCGCTTTTGTACTATCTGCATTCTCTGCTCACTTCTGGTGCTTCCTAGCTTTGCTAGCCCCGTCGGGACCAGGAACCCTACATCTCTCGCCGCTGGCACGAGCAATAACGAGGTTAGTACACTTGAATGACAAGCTTCCTATAACATGCCATATCCCAACCATAGCCCAACCCTCATACCTATCTCTATATATGTGCCCATATTCAACAGAGGAGAAATACCAAACAAGCTGCTGACATCGTGATCATATAGCTAGCATGGATCAGCTAACGGTGCTGCATCAACTGCCATAATCCCTACGGCAGGCGTGGATCCAAGGACAGCCGCGAGGCAGTCGAGACAGAGGAGGAAGCTTTCTTCGGACCGGAGAAGCGTTGCTGCATCAACTGTGACAACCCTTAGGCCTGGTGCGATGGTAGGATGAATAAGCGTGAGGCTGTTGGTACTTTGCAAGAGGCTGTCAAGGGATTGAACTAGAATAAGGTGCTGGGTGTGGCCAGAGTTATTTGTGTCTTCGGTGTAGAGCCGAAGTGACGGGGAAGGAGAGGTAGATACGAAGCTATATTAATGTAGTTCCTAGCCAAGCCAGTTTACACCCTTAGTTTTGCTTGGTTGTCACGCCTCGTGCACCAGCCTCAACAGGAATCGTTTTATAAATCCAGGTTTACCACCACGCCTTGTGTTGTGGAGTCACCCGTAGTTTTATCTAATTATTTGACGAAGTGTTTGTGGTCTATGAAGCCCTAGTGGTCATTGACATCGACCTTACTTTATCAAAGTTGAATAGTCACGATTGAAGGATGTCTCTAAGGGAGAGTATTATGCTAGTGCATCGTTGGCCCGACGACGTCATGCAGTAGTGCCTCAGACTGATTTGAAATATACATGCATGGACAGCTGCATTAGGGCCATGTACGATCAACCAGTCATTCGAGAATACCGTGACTGTCAACTGCTACTACAGTATGGTCTATTCTGGAGCCATTGCAACTCCATACCCCCCTGGAGCATGTCGTTCGCCACAAAGCCTGCCACATGATATCAACAAAACTAGAGCTCCGAGCGCCGGCCGCGACATAGTGGTTCTCCAGGGATCTAAGAAGTGGAGAGCTACTACATGGTACAAGCGCGTCCCTTTCACTGCTGTCCAGATTCAGTCCTGGTTTTTAATGCACTTAAAGTTCCGACCACAAGCTGTTGGTTGGCGCAGTGGCCAATTAACACTACCGCATTAGGCAATCTTAGCCCTAACCCCAGATATCCCTCACTGACCTTATCCAGCCCTTACCACCTTCCCCATACCATATATTCTCACCTCTACCCCTCGAAATTGTGATTTCCAGTATCCATCCATAACATCATTGAGATCAGCAATGAGGCAACCAGGCAGCCGTGTTTCAACGGGGCTTGGATGACGTCATCCATGTCAATCACTTCGATAACGAGCTGAAGTATCGGTGAACAAGTGGCTAGAGTTTGCCCCTCTTTATATCCAAACAATCCCCCTCACAAGCCACTTCTCAGAACACACTCTCTGATAACTCTTTTCGCCGGACGAACAGAAAAAACCGAACAGAATGCCAGGAAATTTTGGCCAGAAAATCCTCAAGACCTTCGGGTTAGACGATAACCAACAAGGACACGGACAGGGCCAGCCTCCACAACAATACCAGCACTACCAACCGCCCCCACAGCAGGGTTACCCAGGCCAGCTGCCTGGAAACCGGCACATTGAAGAAGGAGACCGAGACCTTCACCCAGACAGACATGGTACATACCCCCGTCTCGCCAGACTGGGTGATGGATCGTTACTTGCCTCGTTCACCCACTTCCAGGGGAAGACACGCGTGCTCGCCGTATCGAGAAGTACCGACGGCGGTCGGACCTTCGAGGGTTGGGGAGAAGTCAGCCGCGGTGAGGGAGACGTCGACAATGTGTTTCTTCTAGAGGTCGCACCGGGCACTGTGCTGGGCGCATTCCGCAATCACGACCTGGGACCCAACGGCCCAACGCATTTCCGGATCACGGTCTGTCGGTCGACGGATGCCGGCCGGACCTGGCACTTCCTGTCGCAGGCGGCAGAGAAGGGCGCGCCAAACGGTATCTGGGAACCCTTTATGCGGTTGGGCAGACAGGGCGAGGTCCAGTTGACGTACTCGATGGAATTTGCGCATAACAACCAGTGCACGATGATGGTGCAATCATTCGACGGCGGCGCCACGTGGACTCAACCGCGGTGTCTGCATGGGGACTGTGATTTGTTGCGTGATGGGATGAACGGCATCGCACCAACTTGGGATAACGGTCGCGAGGCGCTGGTGATGATTTTTGAGACTACCTCGTTTGGCACTTTCAACTTGGAAGCGCTTATCTCCTACGACGATGGTCAGACTTGGGGCTGGCGTCATCGCGTGTATGTCCCTCCTCAGGGTCACAATGCGGGTGCTCCCCAGATTGCCTCCTTCGGTGATGGATCGCTGGCGGTTATCTTCATGACGGATGAGGACCACAATGAAGTGTCGTGGACGAATAATGCCTCTATCAAGGTCGTCTTCGCTGGTCCGCCGCAGAATGGCCAGATTCAATGGACCAGACCGACGGTTATCTGTCCTCATACTAGCCACTGGCCGGGTATTGCTGCTGTGGATAGAAATACTTTGTTTGCGACTTTTGAATGCGATGGACGTCCGAAGGCGAAGGCAATCACTCTACACTAGGTATTTGGTTGGGCGTGGGAACTTTGACATTTTGATAGGTAAAGCGGATGGTTTCAGTTGTAGAGCAGCTGCCAGCAGATTTCATCATGAATCAATCTCACAGATTACTGCTTGACAAACCGTCACGCTTGTAGAAATTACAAATGGCTTAACCTAGTGTATAAGTCCAGCACAATGCAACACTTAGGTAGAATTCATTATACGTCGTATCGGACAACTAGCACAATAAATGGACAACAACCGCTATAGGTTGGCAACCAACTCGTCCACACTCTTCATCTCCCTGGCATTGTTCTCCCCAACATCCAAAGCAACCAACACCCGGCTAACACAGTTATATCCCGCAATACCGGTCGTCAATTCGACAATCTCACGATCCGAGAAACCCTCTGTCTGCAATTGCGCAAAAGTCGAATCCTGGACCTTGACCGTCTGGGTCATCTCGTCCGCATACTGCACGATCGCCTTTTGCTTGGGAGTCAAGGCGCTTTGTGCCAAGGCCTCCTTGGCTTTCAATAGCTCTGCGGCTTCTCCGACAGCGGTGGAGGGGAGGGTGCGCACGGCCTGTAGCTCTGGCGCTTGGATTCCGCCCTTCAAGGCCAGGGGGGCATGAGCATTCCATTCGTAGACTGCCCCGGTCAAGACTGCCACACGAGAGACGGCGAGTTCTAGGAGTCCTTGGTCGATGATGGTGCGTGTCCGGATGGCACCCAGGAAGCTGTTCCAGCCATCAGCAACAGGGGGCGAATGCAGCAGAGATAGATCGAGCGGGATGAGAGGGCGGGGGTTGCGACGGGCTGCAATCCGAGCGTAGATGTCTGCCGCGTCGGGGTCGGATGCGGGGGGCTCGGAGGGGGCGTAGGGCAGACGCATTTTCAATGGGGAGATTGTCGAGAATCTGGGGATCGTTGTCAGTATCAGTGAGTGTATCCTCCGAGGCAGAGGATGTCTGTACAAGATGTACAGAGTACTAGAATGAGACATACCTGGAGTTTGTTCTATTTGCAAGTCGTTGGGTTGTTGTTGAGTTCTGAGTCAATGGATTCCAAAGGGACAGTCGAAGCGGAGAGCCCCTCATGCTTTGAGACTGTCACTTGGGCTTCATGATGATTGATTGACCAGGTGGGGATCTTTCTTCCTGTCCTCCTCTCCTCATTTGCGTTTATCCGGTCGGCAGAACAAAACGGATGTCCCCCCAGTCAAACAGGACAAACCATGGATGACAAACAGACCAAACATCGTGATCTTGTGTTGGCGATTCAAGCTAATCCCGTAAAGGAAGGCAATCTACGATCCGCGCGGACCGCTCCCTTTTCGGAAATCAAAGCTGATGTGTGGGTATACTGAATAAGACTTTGATGCTCAAGTTTGGTCATAATTTAAGTGTTTATATTTTACACACATATACACTATACTGTGGCTAGATTCTCTGTAATTTCTGTATAGGCACAGATCTTATACCCAAGTACCGGTGTGTAAAGAAGCACCAGCATCCCACTGCCCCACTTTTGCTATAGTAGATATTGGGCCATCTGAGAGATGTTCAGCTCACCACCAAAGTCCCCTTCACATATTTTATTCGTATATGTACACCTCGTAGTAGAGTGCTGCAGAGTAGGCATATTTAAGTAATCTTATTGGATCCTATCAGTGGACGTGGAATAATGTCAGCTTCGCCATCGACCCATTCGACTTTTTCGACTACGCCAGCTAGACAGACTTCCAACCGGTGACGAGAGGAAAGGGCATTAATTGGAGGAAAGATCCGGCCTTTAGGTGCTCTCAAGTTATCCATCTCGAACTATCTCGCAGACGTATCCAAGTTTGACCCATCTTTACCTCTCCTACCCATCATCTTACACCATCCCTCAACGTGTGCCTTTCGAATTGTTGCAACTATGACTGACCGCCAGGCCTATGCGTCCGTACGCAACGGCACCTCCAGACCAATTTATGCGGTTAGTTTGGCGCGTAAGTATAGTGATCAGTACAAAAATAGCGACATGCGGGGTATCATTGAGCCAGGACAAGCTAGTGCTGGGATGCGGGTTGATTACACCACTGGTTGGTGGACCACTGGTCGAGATTGGTGGAAGGTTTTCTGGGTCACTCAGGACCAAAACCTCCAGAAGACACTTCACTATTCAGACCCAGAGAACTCTCGCGACATAATGGATTGGTCGGAAAATCTTGCTCCAAATGTTATTCCTGATATAGCTCTGGCAAGAAGGATGAACAACGAGTATCAGGTTAGATGTTCAATATCTTGAGAGCTTGACAACAGACTATTTATAACGTACTTAAATTATTTGTACACATAAAACCAATAATCAACATAACACTGCAATGATATCCCCGAATCCCTTCAGGTCGGACATTTTAGCCCTCTGAAAACTGCCTATAGTAAGCATATTGAAGGGCCAATTTGGGGCCATGTTACCCATATCACCGAAGAAGAATTTCTTTTCTCTGCAATTTAATCGTCATCCTAGATAAATCCTATAAAATGCCGAAACCCTCGTCACTAAGATAGCTCTCCCCAGCACAAACGCAAACACTGTTAACATCCTTGTAAAAGACACAATGCGGATAATACATACTATGGATTCCATGGAAGCAAAGATACGTAGTCCTCGGGTAACAAACAAGACCCTTAGCAACACGAAGGGCTAGAGCAACATGTCTAGAGATGGATGGCCGCTTATCATACAAGAAGCTCAGGAATTACAGAATTAAAAAGAGATTGAGTATTCAATAAAATCACGTGTGGTAGCGAGTGGGAGTTCATAAAAGTCATTCTCTTTCTTTTGGCAGCTAAGAGCTATAGCAGACCAAGCCCAGTCATGTTGAGTATGTTAACAAAAGGGTTCGTAAATAGAATATTATTTAATCGAATACTGTCTATTCAAAATCATGGAATATATCAGCGTTATGCTACAGGCGCAATCGTTAGAATGGGCTATGCGAAGCACACCCATCTTATGACCTTTGCAAATAAGATCATCATTGAAACCGAAATGCTAGCAACGGTCGAAGTGTGGGCGTTTTTGTCAGGCTATCGCGAAGAAGACCGACCCACAGTAGCGCATAGTACGTGTGACGTTCCATGAGAATGTACCCATACCAAGCGCACTTCTCCTCACGAGCGAAGTTCATGGCGCCAGCTCTCCAACTAGTGATTTACTAAGTGAGGAGACCCTAGAATCATGCAAGGCCTTTTTTAAAGAACTCCCTATACAGTTTCATTTACCTCATCTTTTCGCAGTAGCTGCAGATAAGGAGCGGTTGTGTTCGAGTTGTACACTGTGAAGGTACACTAATAGCCTGCATAATAACGTCTACTATAGCTCCCTAGTGTAAGTTAGTACTCTTCAGCATATTGGGGGCAAATGTAACCCTGTAGCTTGATCAGGCAATCTATTACTATACAATATCATGCAACAAACGACACAATGCCTTTTTGAAATGTTTTTCAGGATTGTCTCGGAGATGCATTGTAAAATAACCACCGCGGAAGCCATGACATCCCCACCAAAATGACTATCGGAAATACAGGCGGATTTAACGGCCGCTAAGTAAATCCAGGGACCTCTACCCAGGCTATAGTATACACTATTCTATGCATAATCATATGCATAGTACCTTTTTTGCCCCTGGCCCCACGTGGCTTACCATGGAAATAGGTCACGCTTTACGCGGCCCTGAAGAACCCTAATTCACCCTTATTCTAGTCATTCACAGTTAAGTAGCTACTTAGCACATGTGCTTAGTTTATTCTTTTTCTTTTTTATCTTTTTTTTTTTCGCTCTCCTTATATAAATATTTAATTTCTTTTTTTTGGGAGGGGGTGCTGTCTCTCAAGTAGATTTTGGTCCTTTCCATTACAGATAAAAGATCGGCTCAGCGTTGAGCTTGGTATGTTAGACACGCCGAGATCCTTGCATATAGGATGGCGTAGTATCGTGGGAGTTTCTGCCTCGGAGTTAATACTCAACTGAGTTATATGCTAGTATCCTGAACATCCGATACCCGAACTGATTAGAAATGCGTACCGAGTCGGGAACAGATGAATTTTATATTGCGTCGATCCTTATTTTTAGCCGTCCAGAATACGACCCTGATTTATTGATTTGTGTGCAGAGTGGGACCGCTAGAGATCAGGCGTTCCTGAGATCCGCCGGTAGGCTTTTCTTGGGCGGTCTTAATTCTTCCAAAACACTACCAGTAAAAATGATGGCGCTCACTCAACATCTCCCTGGAAGTCTACAAAATTCATTTTCGATAACAATGTTTCCCATCGTTGTATGGTTGATCATTACAATTGAATAGCCTCCGAAGGTTTTGCAGAAACAACAAATTCTGCTAAGTTCAAATAATGCATGCACCAAGTGGAGCGTCAAGCCGGTCAGAAGCTACGGAGTAATCCGTGCAGCCATTCGGGTGCACTAGGACACACCGACACGGTGGATCAATTGAATGATCAACCACGATTGCATGTCTCACATGGATATACTCAAGTTATTTCCTCAGCTGAATATTTCCTTATCAGTCACTCGGGCCAACCTTGGATCGCAACGGCTACTAACGTGTTGCTCCACGGCCCATTATAAATAAGAGCAGAAGATGCCGTCAAACCCACGACCATCACTGCGATCAATTCCTTACCAATAAGCCAAAGACATCATGCGCTGGCTCCCCCTGTTCACCCTCGTCGCGGCCGATATCTGGTCTGCAGTGACAGCCAAACCTCTTCTGCCAACGGAGGACCCGTGGTATGACCAGCCAGCTAATATTGACTCCTACGCGCCGGGCCAGACGATCCGTTCTCGCCAGTTATCCAGCCAGTTGTCACCCTTCCTCCCCCTCCCGGTGGAGGTGTCGGTTGAATCTGTGCATCAGTATCTGTTCCGGACCACGGACAGTTTGGGGAACCCAATCGCCGCAGTGAACACTTTGGTTAAACCCCGTAATGCGGATCCGTCAAAGCTCCTTGCGTACGCGCTATACTACGACTCTTCCAACCCAGCTTGCGAGCCCTCCTATACCCTCCAGCCAGATTCGGATTCTGGCCTTGCCGGAATTCTCTCTGCTAACAGCACTCTATCGACCGATACCGCATTTGTAAGCTAAAAAAAGGTTCAAGCTTTGGCCATCGTACTCAGCGTGACTGACAACTTTCCAAAATAATAGTTGGCTGCCTCCCTGAACCAAGGATGGTGGGTCGTGACCACGGATTATGAAGGCGTGAACGCCCACTTTTCGGCCGGTGTGATCTCCGGTCAAGCGACTTTGGACGGTGTTCGTGGAGCTCTAATTGAAGCCCCCAAACTCGGTCTGTCAAAGGACGCTCGCTACGCCATGTGGGGATACTCTGGAGGTTCGATCGCCGTCAACTACGCAGCAGAGTTGCAGCCAACCTACGCACCGGAGCTGAATTTTGCTGGTGCTGCCGCAGGAGGCAACATCGCCAATCTGAGCTCTACTCTCCAAAGAGTCACCGGTGGCCCATTCGCTGGACTTGCCTTCGGCTCTATTGACGGTCTTTCCAAGGCCTATCCTAATGTCTCCGAGTGGCTTGACCGGTCTCTTGTTCCCGAGAAGCGAGCGGACTTCCAGAAAATTGCCAGCAGCTGCCTGATCGGCGAGTCTACTCAGGGGTTCCTCAAGGATGTCTATTCATTCTTTGTGAACGGCAAGGATTCTTTCAACGAGGCCGCCCCTCAGGATGTTATGCGCCTCGCCGGACAGATGGGTGTCCACGGGACTCCAAAAATGCCCATGTACATCTACAAGCCGGTTCATGATGAGATCAGCCCCGGAGCAGACACCGATGAGCTGGTCGACACCTACTGCAGCGATGGCGCCACTATTGAATACATCCGGGATCTGGTCGGTGGACATGGTAGCTTATGGGTCACTGGATCTGCCAATGCTATGGGATGGATCGCCGATCGCCTGGACGGAAAGGAGGTCTCCCATCCGGGATCTTGCACAAAGAAGGATGTGCTTCTTTCGGATCTCAACCCTGATATGCTGCCCTTCTTTGGGAAGGAATTGTGGGCTACACTGAAGTGGACGTTGGGTGGCTTTTTAGGACCCCGGTGAGAGGTGAGATCTAGGATCTAAACGTGAAAACGAGAGCTGTGTGGGATGTTGTATATAATTAACATAATATTTAATGGAAGATATATATAATGCAAAGTTAGTATCAGATGAGAACAATCAGCAATTGTTGCCTACTTCGGTGGTTATAGAATAGTTCTCCTCATCTGTAAAGTCTAGTAAAAAGGAAATAGGAATTCGACAAGTAAGTGAAGCTGAAACTAAAGAACAAATATAAATAGGGCTCGAATTAGGTAGTCCACGAACCATCGGCATACAGATCTGTTTCCGAGGCCGAGGCCGGAATTACTCAGGGTCCGAATCTTATCGCCTTCTCATATCCTCGGATTTCCTGCCGCAAATCCTCTTGGCATAGAGAGAATGTATTCATCCGCCGTCACTGCGCCATCATTCCCCTCGCCAGGTTGACCATGGGTAAACCTACCAAATCGTACCAGTGTCAAAGATGCGATAGGTCGTTCGCCCGCTTAGAACATCTCCAACGCCATGATCGTTCGCGTAAGCTACTTCTCCCTTTGTGTGTTCGGCCGAATTCCTCGATTAATAATCGCGACTAGACACGAAAGAGAAGCCGTATGTCTGCGACAAATGTCCAAAATCATTTACACGCAAGTATGTGACATATGATTGTACCCCCTAGGGATTTTAATCATACATACTCACTATGAGCAGAGATCTTTTGGCTCGTCACGAACGCTTATCGCACAGCTCCCCTACATCAGGTGTGGGCCAGGATGCCACCACTCCGCCTCCATCCTCCCACCAGATGTTCAATGGGCTGAACATGCTGGCATCTGCCGTAACGACTCATTCGGTGGATTCCACGGGTCAAGGGAATCATAGCCTTCTATCCGGAGGGCCAGCGCCTTTCTCAGCGCAAGCAACGCCGACAGCCGAGTCCTCTGGATTCAGCGAGCCATTTAGTGGATTTGGTCCGTCTACTGCATATGATGGGGAGGACTTCACGTCGTTCCTCGACAGCATTCCCCTACCCAGCCACCCGTATTCCCCTAGTTATCAACCCCTTCCATTGTTTCCGCCTTTTCACTTCGATACACCCCCTGTCTATGACCAGCCACAGAAGGAGAACCCGGCCGAAAGTGCCGAAACTCCTTCAAGCTCCATTTTACCGCGGCACGGCACGCAGATACCCTCACTTCAAACTGAAGAATCTCCGACGACATACAAAGCACGGCAACCTCCAACTTCGCTTTCCATGACGACGCAATGTAGAGAGCGTATTGGTGTTCTTCTATCTGATTACTTGAACGTCATCCCAAACCCATACGTCCCGTCTCGGCATGCCCTCTCACGCTGCCTGACCGGTTACCTCACCGGGTACCACGAACACTACCCCATTATACATGTCCCCACCCTCGACCTTGACTCTAAGTCATTGCACTTGATTCTATCCATGGCCAGTCTGGGCGCTCGGTATTGTCGAGAGCCAGAAACGAGCACTGCCCTCTACCAAGTCGCCAAGGCTGTGACGCTTGAACACATCCGGAGAGAGTTCCAATGGGTAGAGCCTAACAGCGGTATTAACCCAAACCGGCAATCAGCGCAGTCACCGGCAGCCCGAGATCAGGATCTTCTAGAGACGCTACAAGCACTCCTGATGTTAGTATCTGTATCCTCCTGGCATGAGCATGATCCGCCTTATGAGGAATCATTGTACATGCGGAGCTACATGGAAACGCTGCTCAGACAGGGAGGACTCAATGACCTTCCTGCGCAAGACGGATCATGGGAGAGTTGGGTTCGGAGCGAAGAAACAAAGCGAACGCGACTTATCGTATTTTGCTACTTCAACATTCAGACTATTGTCTTCGATTTACCACCTATGATGCTCACCGAGGAGTGTACGCTTGACCTCCCATGCACCGAAGTGGAATGGCAAGCCACAACCGCTAGCCAATGGATGGAGGAAAGGAGTCAGAGCCAAGGCGAACCAAAATTACAAGATGCTCTTGCCTCGCTCTTCACGCATAACCCGGACATAAAAGGGCGACTGGAGAGTTTTTCCTCCTTAGGTGGCTACGTACTCATCCACGCAATCATCCAGAGTATCTGGCTTATCCAGAAATCCCGTCGGCTGCCTGGCTTCAACGGAAACTCCCTTTCTCCATCCGAAGTGACCTCTTTAGAACTCGCACTAGAACATTGGTGCCAATGCTGGGAGCGCAATCGGGAGGCATCCATTGACCCCTTTAACCCACATGGTCCGTTATCGTTCACATCCGCTGCCCTCCTCCGATTAGCCTATATCCGGTTGAACGCGGATTTCAGTTCCGCCCGACGGCTCCAAACCTGGAACCCGGAGGAGATCGCCCGGTCCCTGAAAGAGAATCTTAGTGTCAAGCGCAACGATCGGTTAACTCGAGCGGCATTGCATTGCGCTCACGCTTTAAGTACACCGATCAAATTAGGAATCAACTATGTCGCTCAGACGCAGGTGCACTCATGGTCGCTCCAGTATGCATTGTGCTCATTAGAATGTGCCGTTCTACTCGCCAAATGGCTCGAAGAAGCCACGGTCGCAAGCCCCAACCCTAGTTTGACTGAACAGGAAAGCAAGCTTTTGGAGTTTGTTATCGAGATGGTAATGGAGGCTCGACATGGGGTATCCCGGGAATGGCTCCTGGCCAATAATACCCGCCTCAGTGCGATTGTTACCCGGCTCTGGGCTCGACTGTTTACTGCGGATTATATTTGGGAGTTGGTCAATTTGATGGGTCGCGCTTTGAATAGCTATGCCGATCTATTGGAAAGGATGCATTAGGATTGGTTTTATGGAATAGATATCCGATTCTTTCTTCACCAAGCCTATTTCAGAAGGGAAAGGCTCTCCTGATGTGTCCGGCGTGCAGGAACGGTCATCGCCTAGCATTATGGCATCTGGCACAGTGTGAATCATCAGATACAGCCCATCATACGCGTCACTAGAACGTCGGAGCAAAGGAGGCCCAATCAAAGAATGCAAGAGGATCAAGATCCCAGGGCATCGAGGTATCCCCAATGTCGATACCAGGGCCAGTATCAGGCAGTCCTGCTTGATCCAAGGAATCGAGACCAGGTAGATCCTCTCCTGGCTTCGTGCCTAAACAAGATCGTCGGATCGTCAATGCCTTCTGTCGAAGTCGACATAGAACGGCCCAATGGGGATCAGACTCCCGCCATCCTGCATTGCGCTCTGTTAAGTTGAAGCATGCATGGACGGCGTTCCAGGCTCGCTCAACACCAGGGGTATTAGGACAGATACATAAATGCCACAGGGCATACGTGAGCAAATGGTACGGAGTGAAGGTGGAGGACAGCCAGCTGTAGCTCTTCAGTACTTCGTCCGTTAGCATCTCCGACCCGCATTCCAGACCCTCGCATGCATAGGAGAGAGTCTCCTCATTAATGTGGTTTGCAGATTGCTCAGCACTCAGACCATTGAGCGACTGGATATGCACCAGAGCCTTTGCTTTACATAGGAGTATCCGACCCAACAAGAACGTAGCTTTCTGGACTGGAACGTTCCGATCGCAATATCTCAGATATGTTTTCCTCAAGCGAGCGTCAAAGTCGGCCACGAGCTTCCGGGATTCATCATGCACATCTCTACCATGTTGTGATTGTAACGAAACCCGGTGGATGCGCGCAAATATCTTACTCGCCTCTGCGGTAATCAAGAACATGGTCATCTCCGTCCACGTTTCCTTCGGCGATGGCAGAGTCTTCAACTGGGGACTAAGGTCGCTGTCGTCAAGGTTCAATGGCAGCTTGGTATTAGAGATGGTTTCAAAGCCTCCGACGAGCCCATGATCTTCAGCCACTCGCTTATCAGCGGTTATAATATACCACCACAGGCGACGTCGCAGCTCACATTCCAGAACCGAGATATTGAAATTACTTCCGTCGCGATGGAGCCCGATTGATTGAGCCGCGTATATTGTCATACCGTTCAAAACCCAGTTCGAGCGACCACTACTATGGAATCGGCGACATCGCTAGAAGAGTTAGCCCAGGCATATATCTCGTCTAATATGGAAAAACCCTTACAACATAGATAGCCATAGCCTGTAGAGAGGTTATAGTCGGCGAATCGAAAAACGAAGAATTGTACAGTGAGACTTCCAATCCTCGTTGATATTTCTGCAGCACCTCATGTTTCTGGCCGCCCAAGAAATCGCCCTCATTGATAGATAGCAAGCTCGTGGTTGCCGCGAAGTAAATTGCGAATAGAAGTGCGCTTAGATCGGCCGGTACATCACATGGAGAGTTAATGGCATTGTATAGTTTCGGTAGTAGCGTCGGAATGTGTAGAACCCTCATGAGTGGATTCACGTTGTTCAAATAAACCTGCCATAGCTGCGTTGCCTCCCATCGAGACGGGTATAACTCTGCCACATCTGATACCGTGTGCTGCGGGTTTAACAATAACCCCTCTGCGCGTAGAGGAGAGAATACAGTAGAACCTCCACTGGCACTAAGTGGAGACTCTATAGCCGTTTGAAGCTCTTTTTCCTAACCATCAGTCAGCAACGTGCACACCACGACACAGCACATCAACAAACCTTTTCCAGAACATGCGACAAAAATGACTCATTAATATATCTCGTCGAAGGGCCAGAAGTCACCAAGAAACCCTCTCTCGGTGCATGAGGTTCCTGGACCCGTTGACCCACAGCAGTCCGATCCGTAGAAACTGGCCCTAAGCCTTTAGACAGTGATGAACTTGGAACCGTAACATCTTCATCTCCATCCACTATCGCTGAGACGGTCCTTTCCAAGCGCGCCAACCGGGCTGCCACCTCATTCAGGTTTACATTCGGAGCTCGGCGCTTGGTCTTTTCTGATCCTGGATAGCGACAGGTAACATTCGACCGTGTGCATGTAGTACATGGGTGAGACTTGTCGCAGCGCACCTTTCGCTGGTGGCAGCGGATACAGGACCGTGAGACGTTGTAGCGACGGAGGATCCTTGCGTCCTCGGAGATATGGTCTGAGGTATTTCCGGTTTCCATAGTTTCACTGAAAGTTGTATTATTATTGTTATAGGAAATAAGTATACGAAATTGTAAGTAAATGAGGGTGTTAAGATGACAAGTAGAAGTTATATCGGAGGTTCGGTCGTTCGGTCGTTTGTGCTCGGCAAATGAACGGCCGATTCCGATCGCTACGACACTCATTGATGACAACTGAAGGTTACAAAGCCGCCCTTGTTTCCAGACGCAATTATTCTCCATTACTGATGTAGGAAGACATCATACCATGTCGATCCTTCCGCCGAGCCTTAGGAATATCTCCCTCACCCCTTAGAAAATCACCTCGAACCCGATTTCAAGCTATGTGTCAAGATACCAGACATAAATTCCACCTAAAATGGGGTTTCTCTAGCAGATACACATGATCTGTTAGCCTGCCCTATCCCAGTTTGTGATGAACTCTTTATCCTGATCAAGATACCCCCAAATCGATGACCTCAGCGAAATTATGGCATCAACACCACCATCCTGAGCCTTGGCTTCAAGAAAGTATACCATACCATCAAACATAGCATCCATGAAGACCGGGCTGGCCAAGGCAGGAGCAACATCGAATTCAGTACCTGAGTATAAAGGAAAGCGATGCCACCCACTTGCGATGAACGAGGTGGGCATGACTGGAAAGTCAAGCTGGATGCGTGACTTTTTCGGCTGGGCTGCGACCCAGCTCCCGATTTGACGTACTTCATCCTCGGAGACGTGATGGACCAGGCCGCTGATAATCTTCGAAATCTCCCAGAGGGGCGCGTGGGATAGCTTTGTTGACTCTAATTCCACGTAGGGGGTGAGAATGGTGTTACCGAATAAGCGCTCCGGTAGGCCAAGGTGGGGGATGAAGTTTACATTGGTACCGAACACCGACCTGGACAGGACATCCTCGGAGGTAGAATTGGAGGTGGGAGGAGCCCCAAGCGCCAGGCGCGCACGATGCGTGCGCTGCCAGAGGTGAGCGGACAGCGCGGTGAAGGCGGAAGGCTCTCGAGCGTTGCTGGGGGTGTCTCTACTGCCTAAGGTTCGATCGACCGTACGGCCTTTGAGGGTTGCTATCGCTGCAGGCGAGAATCGCAGAGTGCGTCCAACAATCGGATCCATTCCTGCATTTTGCTTTTTTGAGCGGGCTTCGTTTTGAGCATGTGTTTCGGCATTTGCATCCCTGTCGCGCAAAGAATATGCCGGTGGCTGTTCAGCCAATGCCTTTTTCTGCTCGTCAGCACGCATATGCAGCATTGGAGTGACCATGAATGGCGTTATGTCTGGGGGCGATGCTAATTCAAAGTCAAGCTGCCCTTCGATGGCTGAAAAGGTCATCGTCGTCGCTCGATAAATGGCCGCCAGGTCCTGATACAAGCGCAGAAAGCCGCCAGCCGAGGCAAGGACATGGGAGAGTCTGATGCCAATTGCCACAGAGGCACAGGCAAACTCTGTCCGCTGGATAGTAAAGACCGGATCCCGCTGTGTTCCTTCAAGAGATGTATCCCATGGTGCCAGCAGCACGTTGCCCACGTTGGGAAAATCGAAGATGCTAAGTTCTCTCCCTGAGGCTGTGGCGAATGACCGGAGTGGTGCGTCGCAGTAGGCTTCAAGTAAATGGACCCCACTGCTAAGCCTGGTTATGGAACGAACGTCGGTATTTGGGTCGATACGCAATCGGCCTGTCAGGTGGGGGTAATAATCGAGGAGCCGGCTGATAGCATTGCGGAGTCTTTCAATTGGAATTAGGCCAGCTGATGAGGAGGAGGATTCGTAGATCCAGACAGCACTGACGGGAATACCGAAATGGAGAAGTTGATCAAAGGGTCCCAGGATGAAAGGATCTTGTAGGAAAATTGGATGTTTACTGTTGACCACATGGGTTGCAGTAACTGTGACATTGGCAGTTGGGTGAGCCATTCCGTAAGATCGGCTGGTGAAGATAAGCTAAGCTGGCACTCTCAAGAGGGCCATAGATGAGAAAATACATCATCTTATATGGGAGTTTTGGATCTGTACACTATGTCTCGGCGCAGGTCTACTCCGATAGACGCGTAAAGCAGGTTGGGCAGCTTTGATGAATGTACTCAGGGACCAATCATACTGGCCTCTGTGACTCACTTGGACGGCAAAATCCATCAACATTTGACCCACCCGTACTGCGAAGGCTTTCCTCTTTGGGACTCCGACGAAGTTAACAGTTAGAGCCGAATATAAGCACGTTTCAGTATTGCTTTCTTGTTTCATTTAGCATTCTCCTAATGATATAACGTTGATCCTTGCTTTACAGGCAAATGGACAGGTGTCACAAACTTACCGGAACAATCACTGGAAATAAGAAAGTGACAGTTTCTCTAGAGAATACTTCGATGATTACCTGAGGAGCGACCAACTGCGGAGGAGCTGGCGTATGATAATTTCCTAATGCAGCCAGTCATATCAGGTGCGTAGAAGACGATATGCGTCTCTCAAGGGTATTAATTTATGAACGAATTCATTCCATTGCATACTCGGCGGGTCCCTTCAACCCATATCGCTGTGTCCATAATTCTCGTAGACACAGACGCGCCATAACTGGCCGTTGCAGAAGTCTTTTCTTCCTTTTTTGTCCTTGTATATTGTCCAATTCATCGGTGGTGTTCAGCAGATATTCAAGCGGGATACAAGGTAGACAGACCAGGAAGGTAAGTCTTCCAGGCGAAAGGAATGAAATCTCGCTACGCCATCCGATTTTGTCCTATCGTTCCATGCCCCTCATTTAGACGTCCTCTGGGGACGAGTGGATCCTCGGGAAACGGCTCGTCTAGACTCTAGCTACTGATGTTGATACACAGTAGTAGTTAAAGGAGGGCGTGTATGCCCTATTTTTAGTGCGATAATAGTCTGTGGTCTGAATGAATGTCCGATACAGACTTCGTGGTAGGTAACCCTAGTGGTACTGGATGAAGTGAAGTGTCCCTATCTTTGAATTAAAATTGATAAAAGAAATTAATATGATTTGCCTGGTTTCTTCCACACATAGTAACTAGTATCCTGGGTGCATTCATCGCTAGATTCAGGTGGGTCCGAATCCCTCCGACATAAATGGCAGCTAAACCCAGGCTCGTATACATCGGCACTTCTGGGTGTAAAGCAAGTTTCAACACCCAACTACTGATCAACCAGCCTTTTCATGCACGAGGTACTGTAGCTATTATGATCTTGAATTGTGTTGCTTATCTCCACGTTGCACCCGATTCAGGTCTCATCTTTTCCTTGCCTCGTATTTCAAGAAATGTCTTATTCGCTCGTAGCACAAACCGAGGGGCATGTACGCCGTGAGATTCATTTAGCATGACAGAAAGATAATTCATACTATGGTATGCCCGACGAGAAGTCGTCTCTGAAAAATTATAAAGGGCTGGCCCTTTCTGAATTCAATAATCTCATCTTCGATATCAGCATCACCGTGCGCAGCTTTTTCTTTCCACTACTATAATCCTCAGCTCTGTCTACTCAGTGTTCTTGCCCTCGAATCCACCATCTTCACAATGGCAAACGCAATCGAGTACGCCACTCCTATTTCCTTCACTAAGACCTGGCATACCGAGCCCTATCCGTTCATCTCCCCATCGCGATCGGAACTATCCGCCAAGGGTAAGAACGTTGTAGTCCTCGGTGGTAGCGCAGGTATCGGCAATGCCATATCCATTGCGTTCGCCCAGGCAGGTCCCAAGTCAGTCGCAATCGTGGGAAGACGCCCGGATAAGCTTCAGGAGGCCGCAGGAAAGGCCACTGCTGCAGTGTCCGATCCCACCACACAAGTGCTAGTCGAATCTGCGGATCTGCAAGACCGCGCCCAGGTCGACCGAGCATACCAGTCCATCGTGGACAAGGTGGGTAAAATAAATATCCTGGTTATCAATGCTGTGTTGATCCCTGCGCCCGGAGCCCTCACAGACTGCAAACCCGACAAGCTCGTCCGTGCAATTGAAGGTAACCTCTTGATGGTCATGAATGCGTTCCAGGCCTTCTTGCCCTTCGCAGGACCAGAGCCAGTCGTCCTCTACACGTCCACCTGTCTGGCCAACATCGCACCGACCCCGGGCCTTGCTGGTTACAGCATCAGTAAGGCTACGTGTCTGAAGGCGATAGACTATTTTGCCATGGAGAATCCACATGTGCATGTGGTCAGCATTCAGCCCGGCTGGGTGGCAACCGCCTCGAATGGATATCAGGAGGAAGCTCCTGACAAAGGTAAGAATAATCTTGCGAGCCCAGTTTGCATGTTATCCATTGCAGAATGCTAACGACAGGCAGCTGAGCTTCCGGGCCAGTTTTACGTCTGGTTGGCATCTCCCGAGGCCAAGTTCTTGAAAGGAAAGTTTGTTTGGGCCAATTGGGATGCGCAGGAGCTCCTGGAGAGAGCCGGCGAGATTCAGTCAACAAAGCTTCTGAACTGGGTCGTGGAGGGCATTCCCATGTGAATTGCTGGTAGGGCCTTGGATAATTGTAGGCAGCCGTAGTCGCGTGTTTTTAATCTGATTTATCTATCTCGAATCTCCACATCGTTTATCGTAGCCATGATAAGCCTGATTAGTGGCCTATTCCATTAACGCATGCGCATTTGTAAGCCGTGGGAGCCATGCTATATCTATGACCTAAGATATTGTCAAACTTTAGTGCCCATTGAGCGGGTTGACTTTCACGGGTGACTAGCGAACTTGCGATAGTATCGTGGGCCGAATAGGAAGCATCCTTGCTACGATGACAAGATTCAATACTTGTTAGAATATCAAACGTATGTGCGGGGCGTTATCTAGCACGGAAATCCTTTGGGGAGTGGCGTTTTTTTAGCGTTGGACTAGAAGATGTCTTCGAATAAGAGTGAGCCAAGATTTATAGGAGCGATGGTTAGCGCCATATCTACCGTTGTCATCATCAGCACTAACCATGATTCGTATTTCGCCCCAGAAGCTCGTGGGGGATGACGTTCGAGATACCGACAACGTCGCTTGTACCACCCCGGCATGTCTCGTTCATGTTCACACTCTCAACGGCGTGCAGAGGTATCGCAAGCAATGGCTGTGAAGAATGCTGACCAGAAGGAAGTCGCCATGCCCAGGCTTAGGCTTCGCAAAGCGCATCGGAAATCCAGGAATGGCTGTCGGAACTGCAAACTACGCCGGGTAAAGGTGGGTAGCTTGTACGCTCTTTGATAATGCACTCATCTTATATATCTTTATATTCCAGTGTGACGAGGTCCAGCCTGCCTGTCAGCGATGCAGTGCCTATGGTGTCTTATGCAACTATGGCCCCGACGCTCCCGACCTACAAATGGCCCGCGAGATCGAAGATCCGGCGGTGATCAGCGCCGATGCCACGACCACGCTAGAGTTGACTCGAGAATGCAGAGACCATCTGATCTCCTTCGAGAAATCAGGGACCCTCGTTACAATTGCCACCGTCCATCACAACGAGGTCTTGCAGTTAGCGTGCCTAGTAAGTGGATACTAGTGGCCTGGACCCGGGTTGATCGAACGACGAATGAGTAGTTGCTTAACCCCTGTAGAATCCATACCTCATGCATGTAACCTTGGCCATTGCCGCTATGCATAATCGACTACGGGGCACGCCGGCTCCAAGAGGCCCTAGCACATTTGAGAGTTACCACGTCTCCCAATGCGCGGCACTACTGAGCCGGAAGTTATCACACCCTCTACGAGCGGAGGACCGCGACCCACTCTGGATGACATCGACTTTACTAGGCGTAATATCCACATCGAGCATCCCCTCTTTAATGCCTCAAGAAGCCTGGCCGCTGAAGTCATCAAACGCATCGGACCTAGAATGGCTGCGCATGGCCGAGGGGAAAATGGCGGTCTGGAGAATCGCCGACCCCCTACGTCCAAACAGTCTCTTCCGCGACATGGCTGAAGAATATGCGCAGATGTATGACGGCCCTCTTCGTATAGGCAATGACCCAGTGCCGCCGTCGCTAGTGCGACTTTGCTGCATAACCCCCTCCTCGTCCCCGGACACCAACCCTTACTTTACGGCCGTGCATACGCTTGCCTCAGTGCTTAATACGCATGCTGGCCAACTGTCAAGGGCACATATTTTATCATTTACAAGCCGAATGGAACGTCGGTTCAAGTTGCTATTGCACGCAAGAGACCCTGTGGCATTGCTGCTTTTAGCTCTGTGGTATGTGAAAGCTGGAGATGTGATATGGTGGCTCCGACTTCGGGCTAAGGTTGAACGCCAGTCGATATGTATGTATCTTCGACAGTATCACGCGGATCGAGAGGACATCTTAGCCCTTCTGCCCTGTGGACCAGAGCAGAGTGCAGGACTGCATGACCTTTTCCTTCCCGTTCTAGCCCAGCCCCCCATGTTCTCATTCTAGTGTTTCAAGTCCTCACTAGAGGTGTAGCATTTTATATATTGCAGTGACCTAGCGATACAATAGAGACAATACCTTGTTACCTAATTATATATCCGTCGACTTATCATTATCGTTGCTTTGTTGTCCAAGTCTTTAGTTCGTATACCCAGCTGTAAAGATGGATCTGCAGCACGGTTGTTACTCTGTAACGCGCTGGAAAAGGTCTATCCATAGAGAGGATACAAGTGTCCCTGTATTAAGGTTAATCCTCAAGTTGAAGAGTAACAACTAAAGTATGCTGCGAACCCCGAGTCACACTCTTCGGGCCTTTCTGTACATTCATCCCCACCGACACCCCTTAACATGCCAAATGACTAATGGTTCCCTAAAATTTCACCAATTAGCTGAGATTGGGGTAGAACTTCCAAGGAACACCTCCCATGGGGCTGAGACACGCATGAGGAGGACAGGAGGATGGCACTCCCCCTTGCATTAATCAACCAATAGACACAACATACTTGAGTACCAATACGAGGAACCGCTTCGCGTTGACTATATAGGGAAGGAATTCACGAAACTGTATCTGACCACGAGATGCTGTGAATCTATATAAAACAGAGAGCCCCAAAATGTAGGTACGTGTGTCGAAATCAACGATTGGATATCGACCAGGTCTCTGAATATATTACCTTCAAACAATACTCCTTTCATCATGAATTTGCTAAGCACCATTCTTGCCCTCGTTGTCGTGTCAATGGCGACTGCCGTTACGGCGGCCAACCTCGACAACAATATTGAAGCACGCGGATGCGCCACTATTGGTATGTCGTGCAAGAAAAATAGAGACTGCTGTGCGTCATACTCGTGCAAGAACACCGTGGCAAAAAATCTTTCTGTGGTACTGGTTCCCTTCATTGCCCCGGCATTAGGAGTTTTGTTCCAGTTGGCAGTCGGCTAATAATTACTCTGATCAGTGCCAATGAGAAGCTTAGTGGGCTGCATATATGATAAATTTCACGATATGATGATCTGTCCCCCTAGGATGGTTCGAAGACGCCGGAGAGAGGAGTCAGAGCGCCTGTGTCAGAGGCATGCAGGGCGATTATATTACCTCACAAGTGAAAGCTTAAACAAATGAAATCCAGTTACATTTCATATAGACAACAATATTGCTCCCATCAGTGTTGGAAACTGCCGGGTACTTCATTATTGTGTGACAATCTGATCATATCATACTCTCAAGCCCAATACCTCAAACAACCCGGTGCCACTCAACATATCTTTCACAACCAGTATGCCCAGACCAAAAGACCATTTCAAACTCATGCTGTGTAGGATTTTCCCCCAATCGCATAGGCCATTTCGCAACGATGCTATTGTCAACCTTCATCTCCAAACCAAGAAAGGAACCCATATCCCTGAACCGAGCTCGCTCAATAAGCCTATTAAAGAGGGTATCATTATCTGTAAATAAATCCAAAGCGTCCATCTGATTGAGAAAATCGGCGTTGTATTTATTGGTCGGGACTCCGTGCCTGGGTCTCATTGGCAGAAACCGCTGCAGCGTGTCCATGGCACGAGGCATACAGCTGAGCTGATCTCCAGCGGTGGACATCTCTCTAGTAGCGTTTAGGAATAGCATGATAAGTGTAGCTTTTGGGTTTTCCTTCTTGCTTTTGAGAAGTGGGCCGAATAATGCAAGCGTTTTTGCTGGTCCCAGGTATCCGAGGTCGGCAATGTTAGCAAGCTGGGAAGTGTTAGTCTCGAGTCAATGATAAATGAATGGAATGATAAGACCTATATTACCTCAATTCTATCATAGAATGTTTCTTTGCCTCGAAGTGTGGCTAATTTGTCGGGCAAATCCATAGCGTCTTTCTTGAAAAGGCATATGTTCAGCTTTAGCGTGTGTAGCCGTTTGCAAAACGTTTCTAGATAACGCTTAATGTGTACATAAAGCTGACCATATAGATCATGCTTAGCACCATAAGAAGCGTGCAGGACTTCGGCGAGTGTCCACCCTTGCAGAGGATCTGCAGAATCCGGCATTGGCCATGGGTGCTCGTTATGGAACAACGTGCTTGCTTTGGTCAGCGACCGAATATCCGTTGTTGAAAGAGGAATAAATCTGTACTTACGGATTAGGAACCCTAAAGTCTTCACGGGATACCCCAAATGGAAGTAATATGCCGTCGCTCCGGAACTTCCAGACGGAAAGGCGCCATGAAGGATGTAGCGGAAACAAAGCTCTGTCTCGGTAATCTCGGCGGCTATGGGCAAGGGTGACCGACTTATGCAAGGTAACAGCTTTATCATAGGAGATATCTGGTACTTCTGGGAGGTAAGATAGCACCCTATCCCACTCAGCTCTGGTGAGCGTTGCGGCTAGTGTACTACTCCCACATGACCACGTTTTCTGTAGGAGACCCGCAGCCTGCACTGGCTTTGCTGCCAAGAAATCCCTTATAGTCGGACAGACTGCCCTTCGGATAGATTGGAGAAGGGGCTCTGGCAGGAAGGCTGAATACCAAAGGTGTAAGATTGCTTCACTGGCTATATCAGGGGGCAGATTGAACGAGACCAGGAGGAATATGAGGTTTCGTGCCACAACTGCATCGTCCCGGTCATTGATATCAAGATGGATGTATCCACGGTACCTGTCTGGGAGAGATGCAATGGTCTTGACTAAATTCCTCAAGTCTCCAGATGCTTTGATACATTAGCGATACAACCATTCACCTAATCCTTTAGCCCGCATACCTGCCAAAAGAAGGGAGAGATCCTGACAATAGCCCTCGCCCTCATTCTCCTTTAGTTGCAGTAGATCCAAGGCCGGGACGTTGCCCCACAAGTATTTGTTTCCTCCATACATCGCAACAGGAGTGTGCTCTTCGTCCGAGTTATCTATGAACTGTGGTACACGGTTTTCGACTTCCCATGCCGGACGCCAGTCCGATTTTCGGATGTGATTCTTACAGTCCACTTTGTGGACCGGCCAGTGAGCAGCCTGACAGTCCTTGCTACAGTACTTTTACCATTTATAAGTCTTTCCATAGAAATGTATGTTTGAGTGTTGGTTACTTACCATTACTAGGTAGCAGCCTTTACAGGCCTTGGTGCCAGGTCTGAGGCATCTGATAGCGCTATGCTTCTGACCCCAGCCTGCGCACTGAAAAGGGTCCATGTCGTCACTGCAGTGGAGAGGCCGCTTAATCTGAATATGACATCCAAGCTTTGGCTAATGAAAAGCATAAGTAGGATGTCTGGATATGTTTGTATGCACAAAAGCAGTATATGAAAAAGCAGCATGAGAACGTTGAGCAGCAGTCCTCCAGCTGCCAGTTCAAGTCATATTATATGACATATCCTAAAGAGAAGAGGGGTAATCAGCACACTCTCCAGTGTCGCACACTATTGGTGACTCGGTTGCTTTGGCTACGACAAGGCTGGCGGCTACGCAAATCCCGATGCAGCAGTTTGCATACAAGCTGCAAACCCCGTTAACTTGGTGTTATACCAAGTATTGGATATGCTATACAATTAAATAAAAGCAAGACATACGTGGGGACATTGAATGCACCACGAGTCAAGCCACTCCATACGAAATCCACTTTGCTACCTCCACATCACTGAACAACCAATCATATGATATGACCGGACCTTTTCGAGTAAAGATCTTACTCTATTTTATACCAAATCAAAAATAGCCGCGGGCAGACTCCAAGTTCCACCACAAGGGCACATGTATATTTAGCACGTGACCGTACCCTAGGCTGCCATTTGACCTGCCTCAGGCATGCAATACGAGGTCGTTGCCTGATTGAGGGGGCACTCTCTTCCTCTATAAAACTTAGTGTCCAGCGGATGTTTCAGAATTCCAACCATTCTTCAGTTACTCTCGCCATGGACAGGCTTCCTGCTGAGATCTTGCTGAGAATCCTCAGTTATCTACAACCGAAGCTTGGTCCACTCCTTCGAGTGAACAAGCAGTGGTTCTATTGTGGCCTTTCGCTCGTATGGCGGGAAGCATTCTGGTCCGATCTCTCTCGAATTCCAAAAGATCGACGAATACTCTATGCTACCGCAATTAGGAGACTCTTTCTCTGGGAAACTGCCAGAGAGCAGGTAGAGGAGTTCAGCCATTTCGCCTACCCTAGGCTGAAGCATCTAAATATCGGTTCAGACCCTTCAGCCAAGGTAGACATCGCTTGGCTCAAACGGTATATGCATGCGGAGCTCCAGTCAATTGAATTTCTAGGGGATTTTGATCCGGAGTTACTGCTACATCTTCAGACGAACTGTCGCCAACTAAGGAAAATATCAATCACTGCGCCGGGTGCTCGTCTTACCCCAGAGATCTTTCTGCGCTTCCTACAAAACACTCTTGTCACTGAGATCTCATTTGAGGGAAATAACATTGGACATTTACTTGACCTCGATACTCTCGGTCATCTAGTCAGGCGCGAGAACTTGGAAGAGTTATCTCTTGGTTGTACAATTAAGAAGTTACCGAAGGATATCAAGACTTGGGAACATGGCCGGTCGTTTCAAAAATTGTGCGTTAAAGTCACGCATGATGTACTTCCATCCTTTATCTCCAATTTCACCTCCCTGCACGATCTCAATTTGGACGTGGAAGGGGAACAAAGATCAAAACCCACTAGCATCGACTTCAACCACCTTTCAGCCCTAACCCAACTACGTCGTCTGAATATATGTCTAAATGGAGTGAAGGATTTCGATAAAGGGGACCTTCTATTTATCAAGGACCTAAAACACTTAAGAGAACTAGGACTCACAGGAACAATTACAGTAGCCCTCACTGCAACCGAATTCAATGACCTTGATTTCGAAGAATTGGTTGCAACTCTGCCTAATCTACGAGTGTTAACGTTCCACATGTACCGATTGTACCTGACGACACAAACCCTAGCAGCTCTAGGCCAATTCTGTCCGTTACTCGAACGTTGCGATTTGATGGGAGGTTTTAATATGCTACAATTGAGACTTTATCAAACACCACTATTCCCAAGGCTACATTCTCTCTGTATCAGAGATTTCACCAGTCTAGTTATTGATCGTACCGGCATGAAAGCACCCACGAAACTGGGATTCGAGTAAGTACCCCGCCTACCTTAGTCTCTCTAGGCACTTCCTCTGACTGTCTCCCCCCCTCTCTCTCTCTCGCTCCACAGGAGTCCCGAAGATCACGTTAAGCAACTGGAAGAACACTTTCCAAAACTACAAGATCTGACACTCACATACGCGAATGATACGCGATTTAGCCGCTTGGACGAGCACGAGTTCTCGAACAGCGTTCTATATAAATGGAGGGCTAGACAAGAAGAGCGGGAAAGGTGCTTCCTGGAGAACTATAGCTAGGAAAGTACTTCTCCTGATGCGGATCTATTTCTTTATTAGGGTGTATATATACCGTGGGTCTCACCATGACACATATTTGGCAGATGTACATATTCGGATGTATGAAAATGGGATCCTTCAGACCAGACAAATAACAGCACCCTGTTGGAATCTAACTATTTAGTATTTAAAGTTAATTATAATATTTAATCTTTTTCTATTGCTATAGCTTTTCACTATGCCTGCTGTGCATTACCAAGAAAGTATCTACGCACATTTTGGCGCATTCTCCCATGGCCTAATTGGGTTCCCAAGCCAGTGAGTGCTATCCGGAACCCGTTCACCTCGCATAACCAAGGACAGAGGACCGATAGTTGAGCCCGATCCAAGAATAGTTCCTGGTAAGGGAATAGCAGCCGGGCCGAGTGTGGCTCCGTCCTTCAATGTCACTCGGCCCAGTCGCATTAACCGGTCGTGGAATAGATGAGTCTGCCAACACACATTGGCGATTGACTGAGACCCCGTCTCCGAGACTCACAAGTTCAGCCTCGGGAAAACGATGTGTCTCACACCACACTCCATTTCCGATTTCAGCTCCCATAGTCCGCAGCCACATGTTTAATAGAGGGGTCCCGTAAAGCAGACGAAGCATCCATGGTAGTGCGAGCGATTCAACAAAGGTCAGAGCCAACTCGTTGCACCATACGAACGAGCTCCATAACGGGTGCTGATGACCTGCTCCAACATTAGGCATAAGTACCCATTTAGCAGCCGTTGCTAACAGGCATGCTACGACTCCTGCGGTGAAAAGCAATACTCCGCCCGCGACGATCGCGATGGTCAAGCCGCAATAATCTAGCACGGTGAGCATGAGACCCACGAGTGACGCTATTAAGAGTGCCGAGATGACCCAGGGAATAATCCGCATGGACTCGACTGCTCCTCTAGCAATCTTGAGTCTCAGCGGTGGATCGAAGGCAAGTCTTGGGTCGGGCAATTCGTCCAGACGACGAGGGATGGACATGGCTGGTCGTCCGAGCCACGATGAGCCGGTGCGTATTTGTGATGGGACTGGCGCACTGCCCAAAACACCAACCAGCGACCCATCTGGCGTGAAGTGGTCGAGCCCAACAATGCCGGAGTTGCCTACAAATGATCGCTTCCCTATGGAAGAGACACCCAGCACGAGTGTGTCCCCTCTCAGCTCAAAGGGCGCTAGCAATACGTCGTCTGCCAAAAACGACCCGTTGTCTGCATGGAGAAGCGATGGTGGTGCCACTATAGTCGACGCTTCGACATCTCGACCTATACGAGCGCCTAGCAGGCGAAGCCACGTGGGTGTCAGAAGACTGGCATAGAAAGCAAACAGACCGTTGCGGGCATCACTCATGAGTCGGTGAGTCAGCCAAGCCGCCCAGGCGTGCACACCATGGCTGGAATAGATACCAGGGGCCATGTACCTTGCAGCAAATCGAATCAACCCCGTCAAGAGAGCTGCATATGAGACGATGCTCATCATGGTGACGGGGATCGCCAGTATCAATGTGGCCACCACCAGGTTTTCCACGGCTTCGGTATCCCACAGGACATAAGTGCAGAGAGCTACAGCGGGTATAGCACTTATGGCGGGCAAGACATCGATCAATAGCAACGTCAAGGTATAACGCAGCATTGACCCGGTACCATCACTCTCGGCGATGTGCTTTTCATTGAAATCAACACCATCGCCCGTGATCGTCCCCTCGACACAGACACCCGGCTGTACTTCGGCAAATGGCTCAACAACGGTTCCTGGTAGTAATACAGCCCTGGCACTTACTCGAGCGCCGATAGATATGTCAACGGTTCCCACTCGCAAGATATCTCCATCCAGCCACCAGCCGGCAAGATCTGCATCCGGTTCAACAACGCAAGACGTGCCGTAGCTTGCGAGACCAGTAACTGGCGGTAACGCATGGATTTGTGCAGTCTGGTCTACTCGACAGCCAAGAAGCCGGGCGTAGCGGCGACACCACTGCGTCCCGATGATAGCATTGATTCCGTTCAAAGTCACAAATCGTTCAGCTGCCCATAGGCGAAGATGTACCCAGCCCCCTCGAGGGTAGTTGCCTGGTCTGACCCCAGCCATCGGGATCCGTCCCACGGCAGCCGTGGTCAATACCCTGCCAGGCATAGTTACAAAAATCATCCAGCATATCAAAAGTATCCAATGTGGAATCACCAGTCTCTCGGCCCAGGGAAGCGGACCCATGAACGATGTTGCCGATGCTTTGAAAAGGCCCATTACAATAAACCAGCGGAAACTCTCAAAGGTGAGGAAAGCCAAGAGAATCCCAAATTGAACATAGCCAGTCCATGTTGGTTGTGGCTTCACTATTCGCATGCGTTGTTGGGTACTTGTGAGTTGATCAACTCGATGGGCCATTTCAAACAAGGTCGGGTGCTGGTATATGTCGACAACTGAAAAGCCAGGGCATCGCTGACGAAGCAACGAGACGAGCTGTGCTGCAGCGAGACTCGTGCCCCCAATGTCGAAGAAATTGGTGTTTTCCTGAATAGGTGCTCCAAGCACTTTCCGCCACTGCTCCGCTAACCAACCCGTGCTGCCTTTGAACGCCGGCTCTTCACCATCTGATGGGGGTGGCCACGGTAACGCTGCACGATCCACCTTCCCAGAAGTCCGCAAAGGGAGCTGCTTCAAGTTGATCAAGAACGGGACCAAAGCTGTTGGCAAGTGGTCTCGTAAGAATTGGCGGTCGGTGTCGCTGGCAGCGGCATCTCGAACAATATAGCCGATAAGGAGTGGTGTGCCTGTCTCACTTCGACGGATGGCGCTGGCAGCTGCACTCACGCCAGGAAGCATCATCAAGGCGGCGTCAATTTCTCCCAACTCGATACGACGACCTCCCAGCTTGACCTGCTCGTCATCTCGGCCGATAAAAACCAGTCCCTCTGGGTCTGCACGAACCAAGTCACCAGTCCGACATGCGCGTGGCCAGTCAAGGGATCGCAATGGGGCAAATTTGGTCTTGTCCTTCTCAATGTCTAGATAACGAGCCAACCCTGCGCCGGCAATGACAAGTTCTCCAGTCTCACCCCAAGCGACGGGCTCGCCGTTTGGTCCTATGACCGCGAGTTGCCAGCCAGCCAACGGAAGCCCGATGCGAACCAACTGACCGGCTACCAATGGGGCAGCGCAGGAGACTACCGTCGCTTCGGTCGGTCCGTACGTGTTCCATACAGTGCACGCTTTGCTTGCGAGACGGCCAACCAGCTCTGTGGGACACGCCTCTCCGCCCAATATCAAAAGTCGCACCCTCTGGAGAGCTTCTGATGGCCACATGGCAGCCAGAGTCGGGACCGTCGAGACAATGGATATAGACTGTCGAATCAAAAAGGCGCCCAAGTCCGTGCCTGCTTTGACCAACGAACGAGGTGCTGGCACGAGGCATGCGCCATTCCGCCATGCCAACCACATTTCTTCACAGGATGCATCAAACGCGACCGACAACCCGGCCAGAACTCGATCACCGGGGGCAATGGGCCGTTCTGGTAAAAATAGTTGAGCCTCTGCATCAACAAATGCAGCTGCACTGCCATGCGTGACAGCGACCCCTTTCGGTTTTCCCGTGGACCCCGAAGTGAATATGATCCACGCCGTGTCGTCTGTGGTAGGTCTTTCGGATTTGGACTCATTGGACCGAGCCAAAGGATGGTGGGGTGTCAATCGTGGACCATCTGTCAAGACGACACACACGCCAGCCTCGGTCCAGACTGTATTGGCTCGCTCATCGGGATCATCCACGTCGACTGGGACATATGCTGCCCCGGCTGTTAAGACAGCCAAGATGCTCACATATAAGTCGACAGTTCCCGAAGTCATACGAATGCCCACATAGTCACCTTTACCTACACCAGCCGCGCGCAGGGTCGCGGCGCGAGACACAATCTCTTCTTGTAGCTGCCTATAGGTAAGACTCGTTTGTCCATTGTCAATAGCTAAATGCTGGCGATGAGTCTTAACGGTTTCATCCAGTATATCGATGAGTGTACGTGGTGGAGTAGCTGGCTGGGAGTTGTAAATGGCGCACCCTGGCAGCTCCAGCTCCTTAGCGATCAATGGCTGATATCGACATCTATCCATAGCTTGAGGATTAATAACCGGGACCCTGGAGCATTGGAGCCAGAACCTCTCTTAACATTGCACATCCCTTGAATATGCCCTTGTTCTCCAAGGACATGCCGTATATATGTATCACATCGTCAAGGTTTTTTTCTGGCCCTTCAAAATCCATACTCGAGGGACGACCAAAAACCTTCATGCTGTCAACTGCGTGGCCATAAAGTTTCCCGAATGCGCTATTGGCATGTGGCTTGTTCTGGAACGATGCTGAAGAATTTGGAACCGAGTCTTTTCTCAATCTGTGCATAGAATTTATGGATATATATAATCGCCGTGAAAGTAGTTGAAGCAAGCCGGGTAATAACCACAGCAGAGATTCAAGAGGGCTTAGGGATGTCTTTAGGAGGTGAAAGGTAGAGAGGACATTTGCTCAAGTAGCAATGAAGAGCTTGTAGAAGTCGCTTGGCTCCCGTACTTCATAACACATTTCAAGTGTTGTTTCTACTATTCCAGAACTACAGAACTCGGAGCGATGTGCCAGAAATGTAAGTGGTATCCTGAATTGGAATCCGCGTCCAGAAAACGACAGCTCCTTATACAGAGCATGTCAAGCTCTTAGATGTACTCTTTATATCTCGATATATTGGCCATGTGCTTCTAGTTAGAACGAGAATGATAACTGCAATAGCACATAGAAAGGAGGTTTATCCTCAGCAACAAGAACATAAAAACAAAGAAACAAACATGCACGTAAGCTCCAATTGATAATCCCGAAAATCGAACATATCTGGCTAGACTTCTAACAAAGTATCATCTAGTCACAACGCCAATACGCTGTCTATCGCACCATAATCCTATTCAACGCCTCAAGGATATTTGGAGATTAAAGGACGAGCCGCGGCCCATGGTACTTGTTAGTCTCCGTAGCAAACGCAGTGATGGAATCCTTCGTCCGCTTAGGGAAACCTTCAAACGATCTGGCATAGGTGGCAACTGAGTGGGCCACCAACTAGAATAAAAATTCATGTTAGTAAGATGTCATTCAAGGCTTTCTAGTATTACCTGCATGGGACACTCTTACCTTAGTGTTCCACTCCCATGCCGTCAAATTCACATTTTCCACAACATCACAGATCTGGTGATAGCATGGATCATACCAAGCGCCGGCAACACCACCAAACATCTCCTGCTCTTCCGGTGTCTTGATACCCTCGGCGCCAGTGGCAATACCGCCTCCTGGGATACCGTGACGGATGAATCCGTCATAGTCACTCCGGCCATCGAATGGAATATAGGTGTGGTTGAGGTCGTGGGCATTATAGAAATCGACGTACAAGTCGCGCAGCTCCTCGGATCCGACCGGGTTTACTGCATTGGTGGCGTTGTAAACCTGGTACGCAAAGTTCGGGGAACCAAGCATATCGTAGTCCATGAACAGACGGATCTTCAGGTTCTCCTCGGGAGTAAGAACGGAAACATAGTAGTCCGACCCAAGGAGACCTTCCTCCTCACCCGCCCACCATGCGAAACGCACGCAGTTGTTAACCCGATATTGAGTCAGCAGGGTCGCGAGTTCCAGAAGCGTCAAGCTACCAGAGCCATCATCGTTGATGCCCGGTCCTTCGGCAACGCTGTCACTGTGGCCACCGAGCATCACACAGTTCTCCGGATCGCCTTCAGTCGTCTGGGCGATGATATTGGTCGTATGAATTGTCTCTACAAGGGCATCCATGTAGGCGATACCATCGACCTTCTTGCCCTTCTTCAGCTTCTTCAGAATGGGTGCAGCATCTTCATCAGAAAGACCCCAGGTCGCAACATGGTCCGGTGTGGGGTTACCCAGCGTCCCACTCAGGCTACCCTTTTCGTTGTTATATACCACGGCCGCAACAGCACCAGCTTTTCCAGCCAAGTCCGACTTCGTACCGAACGGACAGGTGCCACGACTAATGAGCGCAATGGCGCCAGACACATCCAATGGGAAATCAGACGCGTCACACCCGAAGTTGGACACCGCTACTAGGGGTGCATGTACGGGTTGTTTGTTCTTGGTAGGAGGTGTCAATCCCATGGGTGCCGCCGATTCGGGTACATTGTCGCCGAGGACCAGGCGGGATTCGAAAACATTGCCCGTCACGGCAGGGAAGGACTGGTTGGTGATGGTATAGTAGTCGCCCAACTTAGCAAGCGTCGAGTAGATGTAATCAATGGTCCCGAGGTGCCCTAAAAGTGTCCTGGGGTCAGCGACAATGGACAGATTGCATGGTTCAGCTACCTACCTTTGCTTCCAATGACCCGAGTCGGGTGATTGTATTCTTCCTCTCCCAAGTCCGCAATCTTGGATAGTTCTTTGGCTCTCTTCAACAGGTTCTCGGCTTTGACGTGACCTTGCAACGCGGAGGAGCTGACCAGCTCCTTGTCGGAAGTTATGGGAACCTGGGATTGCAACAGGGGAAGTTGGACTGCGCCTACTTCACCGAGAAGCAGGGTAGCGATTGCTACCTCTGGAAGCTGTAGTCGCATGATGGTATATGGTTGAGGTCAAAATGGGGATACAATCAATGGGGAGCTGAAAGAGGTGTGTCACCCCGGAGCTGAGGTGGAGATAAACAACTCCCCGGTTTGTTTATCCGAGAGGCTGGGGCTTATCGATCACGCGATAAGTGATAAGATAAGCACCATCTTGAAGCATGACTCATGATAATAAGTCAAGTCCTTTGTTCTCAAGACCATTTTGTCTCTATAAGGACACTTGTGAACGGTTCTTGTTTAGAAACTTTGCGACTTTCCCTTTCCGGAACGGGACTAGCTCAGGGCCGCTTTTTGCTCAATGATTGCTCCCGGAGTGTGGGGATAGACAGAAGTATGTGTACTGAGCGCTTCCGGAGCATTGAACCAGTGCGCCGGAGCGATCGGGGATCAATTCCGGAGCCAATCCGTGATTGCTCAGCTAAGCCGACTACTTTGGACGGTAGTTATGTACCAAGTAGAGTGGCCCGGGTTCCCCGCTGGACCCGACCCGAACCCGCCCCAACCCGGCTCCGGGTCGGGGGTGGGGAAACCGAGCGGGTTTTTCTTGGCATTACAATATCGATTTTCTAGATTTTTTTCTAGATTTTTATATATATATTTTTTTAATATCAATTCTATATATATAGAATTGGTAGAGATTAGAGTGGCACGGGTTCCCCGCTGGGCCCGACCCGAACCCGCCCCAACCCGGCTCCGGGTCGGGGGCGGGGATAGAAGGCTGAACCCGCTCCGGGTTGCGGGTTCTAGGGCCCCATGTCACAAATCCGATGATGACTCTGCATGATGACTGTATCGTATACCCTCCCCGTTGTGCATATACAGCTCGGAGGCCGAACGGCGACGACGGATCACATATCCGTCGACTTTTCAATAGTGTATAGTAGCTCCTTGTCAGTCTTATCCTGTTAGGAGAATAAGGGGTTGCTTCTAGATATAAAGTTAGCCTAATATTAATAGAAGAAGGAGGCAAGAATCAGTCTTCTGTCTGCCTGATATCTACTGCTTAGTTTTCTGCCTACGTACCCTTACCTAGTTGACAGGTCTTCTACCCTGAATAGTAGATATTTCCTTGACACTTATATTTGCGGCCCGTCTTTCCCGTGAATGGTACCATGCCTAACGGAAATCCAAACTTGCCAAACCATACCGTGACAGCCAGGAATACACTCCGCCTAGCTTTTCTGCCATCACCTTAATTCCAGAGGGCAATCAGATACAGATTCGCGAGGTTTGGTTTCTCGAGTACTACGGATTTCTGATCTAGTAGATTCATTGAGCTCTAAGTACTGTACCGCACTGGTGGGTGAAATATTGGTTTAGATTAGACCATTTCCATCAAGCTATTTAATGAACCGGAAACCCAGAAGGCCTTTTGTCTACAAATCGTGCTGGAATGGTATAACTTTGCCGATTTTGTTTCTATAATCTAGTCATAAAGTCTCCAATTCTTGCCGTAACAGCAGCCATCCCTTCCAGGCCCATGACCAATGAATATCGATCTTTCACCGCTGCGGGCGCGACTGCGGCGCTAAGGCTTCATTAATAAGACTCAGGGCTGATCTATCGAAAGTGAATCAATATCACCAGTAATCATGTTATTGCACGGATAAAATAGATACAAGTCCCGCCACGACCAGGTCGACATCTTATCTTGCCAAGCTAACCCTTAAAGTACAAGTGTTTTGTGCAGAAACCCGGCGACTTCTTGGACAGCGTGCTGTACTGTTTCTGGATTATCGTAAAAGTCGAAGTGGGTCGCCTCTGTCCAAATGCATTCCTTCGGTCCAGCCAACAAATCGTAGACTTTAGAAGCTTGAGTAGGGAACGCTGCCTTTTGAGAATGAATCATCAACGTCGGAGCAGTAACATATGAAGCCTTCTCAACAGGGTCGAAAGCGAGCCATGACTCCCATGACATGACGGCAAAAGAATTGCGCCACGCGCGAACACCACCGCCTCGTGACTGATCCATGTAGTAGGAATCTTTAGGAGTCTTGCTTGCTGCGGGCTCAGTGTCCGAGTATGCTTTAATTATCTCAATTTCGCCTGTCTCTCTGTAAAGGTCACGAGCTTGACGACCTGAAGCCTTTCGACTTTCAACCCCATCAGCACCAAACAGTGTTGAAAGTAGATCCGGCTCCCCGAAAAAGCCTGCTACCGTTACCAAAGCGCGTACACGATGATCTTCTGCTGAAGCATAAAGAATATTTCCACCAGAAGTGCATATGCCCAAGAGTGCTGTAGCAGCCACGTCCTTCCGGTTTACCAAATAGCTCACTGCCGATGACAGGTCTTTGGCCTTTTGTGTCGGGACTTCAGAATAACGCTCCGCGCCACTACTTTCCCCCCAGTTGGTATAATCGATGGCCATGGCGATGATGCCGTGGTGCGCCAATTGGCTCGCATATGTACCGCTCATCTGCTCCTTAACAGACGCCATTGAACCGCCAACGACGACGGCAGGATATCGTTGATTGCAATTATAGGTTTTAGGAAGGTAGAGATGACCGACGAGGGAGCCGTTACTTCCGTTTGGAAAACTAACAACTTTTGGGGCATTCCGAACCGCTGCAGAAATCATGTTGAAATGGACTTGGAATTTGGTTCAAGAGATGAGACGATCAAGGGTGTGACGAAACAGAAGCCCCTGGTACGAGTGAAAAATACTTCTGCTATATGTAGCACGTATACGAAGATGACAAGCTTAGAATATAAAGACTCGAAGAGAGAGATGGGCTTTTTGTCATAGAGAGCATTGAGAAATGAGGTTGGTAAGCGATCTGTTCGGCGATAGGGCATAAGAGTGGGCAGTGTAATGTCCGGTTCGTCAGCAGCGGCTCGGAACCCTCCCCATCCGGGATCGAGGGCTTACAGCTCCGGGGGGGTCAGGAATTAGTGGCTGGGGGTCAGGGTGGGGCGGAAAAGGCAGCTCGTAGGGGGTCAGAGAAAATACTGCCGGGAACGTGACTTTTCAATTCCTGACCCCCCAGGAGCCATTTCTTACTAATTATAATTTTATTAAGATAAAAATATCTGACCCCCTTCCAGTCCTCATCACATAATATCTTATCTAAGTAAGAGAATATTAAAACTTTTTGTACTTCGGTTACAAACAAGGGACATCGATAATAAAATGGACACAATAAGGGAAGAGCGCATCGAACACTACAGTACCAAAAAAAAAAAAAAAAAAAGCTGCAGGGACAAAAGCCCTACCAAACTTCCAACCGAAGAAAATAGCGAAGAAAATAACAATATAGACTAGCGGGAGAGCAGTGCAATATCTGACTAGGCATCAATATCTACCTTGTTATTCAACCAATACCGTGTTTGACCTTGGGTCGTCAAGTCGCGGCCTTTGTCGCGACCAGAGCCGCGCCTCCCCATAGTGAGCCAGGGTTCAATCGGCCTGGGTGAAGATGGAGCATGCTATTGTAGATTTCCTCGGCTGTAGTAGATTGCTGTGCAATGCGCTCAAAATCTTCCAAATATCCTTTGGTCTCCGTAATAGCAATTGGTGTATAGCCCTTTTCCGGGTCACTGTGGCCTCCCACAACGAACTTTGGCTGAAGGTCGGCGATACGATCCAGAGCGGTGATCCAAGCCGAACGTGCTTCCTGAGTGACTGACTCTCCAAGGTAGGGATAAGTATTACCATAAACAGAATCACCGGCTACTAGCAGACCAATCGACGGTGCCCAGAGCGCGGTAGTGTCGTCGCAATCGGTATGACCGATTCGTACAACCGCTAATTTCTCGCCTTCAAGCTCTATCTCATCTTGCTGCAGGGGCTCTCCATAAACGAAGTTGTCCGGAATTTCTCCCGGGAATAATTTATTCCAAAAATTGTCCACTCGGTCTGACGATGATTCGGTACGCATCCGTGAAACTACCTCCTGAGTAGACACAATTTTTGCATCCGGAAAGCGCTTCAGTAAGATCGAGTTGCCAAAGAAGTGATCGCCATGACCATGAGTGATGTAGATTGTGGTAAGGTTCGTTCCCTTCGCGGCCACCCAGTCGGCCAAAGAGTTTGCAGCCTCTGTTGTGAGTTGCGTATCAACAAGGACCGCATCTGTTACACCATAGATTAAGGTGGATGTTGTTGGGACCCATTCGAAGCTTTCCAGCCCGGGAGGTGTAGTGCGATTCACCCCTGGTCGTCGACTTGAAAAAACATCAAAACTGAGGCCCATGATGGTGGTGGCAATGCCGAGTAGACGAAACAAGTAGCAGATGTATGTATTTGGCCGAAGCGCAGAGTAATCGTGCTTAAGCTTTTCACAATTTCCAGAACAATTAGGTCGTGGGTTTTCAGGGCTGTCGGGTTGTTGACTGACTTGACTTTCTCTTTAAATGGCAACCGAGCCCTCGGCCATGATGAGGCATCCGGCTCGGCTTGCAGGCAATGGATGACTTATCATCGCTGAACCTCGGCGAAATGTTATTCGAATCGGTCAAACCTTGGAATGAGTGACTGTGCATCGAACTCGATGGTGAGTGGTGAATTACACAAGGGTCTCCCAGGGTGATCAAAGTGATGGACCAAGAGCATGCACGGTAAGAAGAATATTACATCGGAAACACGTGTACCGGCAATTTAGACGCGATCAATCATACATATTTTGGAAATTGAGAGACGAGTAGCCCTGCACTAATCGGGGTCTAGAAGGTCATTTACAAAAGGATCGTTATGGGAGAAACAATTATATGTTTAGGGTTAGTGACAATAGATGCTAGAATGTCGCTACTCTTTGCTTCATATATTGTGACTGAACAGTCTCAATTCATATATCCTATGATGAAAAAATGAGTCGGAAGTATGTGTAGTACACAAGCACAGAATAGGTCTTAGTATGCATAACCGTACAAAGGGTTGCTACCTGTTCAAGTGCTTTGCAGTTTTAATCCCAGGCCCTAAGTTATTAAGACACCGAGCACACCGAAAAGCCAAGGACAAACGGTCCCAAATGATCGACTCTTTATGACTTTAGAACAAAGTCAACGCCAGCCATCACATCGCCTATGAAATCTCCACTGGGGGATGGACAGCCAAATGCCCAAAATACATGCGGCAGACCTCGATAATGATCAAGCTTCACAGGAACACTTCAACCGAAAGTAAATTTATATCAGTAAATCTTGGCTCTAGCAGCGTTTACAAATAGCTTTGAAATGGCTTACCCAGCCTCTCGTAGGGCGCAACCTACCAAGATGCCGTCATCTCGCAAGGGGTCTACCTCACAGACAGCAATGTAAGTCGGAGGAAATTGATGCAAGTGTTGGCTCAGGAGGACAAAAACACTAGGATCATCCTCTCTCGCTTCCACGGATTCTATAGATCTCAGTATACTCGCAGTCCCATAGACTTTTGAGGCCTGGCCCTTACCCAGGAAAGTAGCCATCGCATCTGCCGTATTGACTGGTCCATCTGCACATTCATGATACGATCGGTGGTTGTCCTTGTGGTGAAAAGGAACATTCTTGGGGTGAATGGCTAGCGGGACTAGTGCCACAACACCGTTAATCTCGGATCGTCTGCCTTGGTCAATCAGTAGATGAGCGGTTGCCAAAGCCAGATTACCTCCAGCGCTTTGGCCGATCGTGAAATAGCGTGATGGGTCCCCGCCCAAGAGAGAGGCATTCTGTACACTCTACCCAGAAGACATATCACATTCAGCAATTCGAGGAAGTCAGCTAATAATCTAGCCAGGGCACTTACCCAGTTCCATGCGGTCATCGCATCCTCTGTTTGTGCTGGAGCTTTGTGCTCCGGAGCTAGCCGGTATCCCACAGATACTATAACACAACGCTGGCGTTCAACCAAGATGCGGCAGAAGGGGTCTTCAGAGTCAAGGTCACCGCAGCAAAATCCACCGCCATGGAAATAAAGTCCGACCGGAAGAGCTTCTTTCCTATCCATTGGCTTGTATACTCTCACCGTGAGATGCTCCGTGATATGCTCATCCACTATTTTCGACCTTGAGCATCTGTCGCCACCCTAAAAATAACGAGAACAACATACCCACGCTCACACCGGGCGTTACCGGTGCTGATGCATTCATCTGCTCTGCGAGCTCTCTGTATTGTAGTCGCATATCTAGCGCATCGCCAGTCAACTGGGGACGGGCTCCAATCCCCCTCTCAATCTGGGATCTTTAGCACCAGTAGATGAACATCCGGTGTTGCTTGTTTACCTTGGCCCATTCGTCTGATAGTATTTCATCTATAGTGAAAGATGCCATAGCAGAATGTGTTGACATGGGTAATAAAGGACATATCTAAACTAGGCGGGCCGTGAGATACGCGTCTTGCTCGGTCTTTATACGTGGAGCGCTGGAAGAGGAGGAGAGAGTTTAATCCGGTATTCCACAAAACTGCTAAGGGTTGACTAATCCTCCGCCGAGGTGCTAGGAGATTAATTAGAAGTTTTCATCTACGGTTCAATGATGAGTGAACATTGCCAGCAGTTCCAAGGCATGCCGAGGTGATCACGTCATCCTCTCCGATAACTAGGTCCTAATGGCTTGTATCTGTGAACATTTCTACTTCTTCTCCTATACCCCCCGAACCCGAATAGTCGGGAGCTTAGATCTGGCGCAGCCCTACCAGGCATTTATTTCGCTATCGGTGGCGACTTACCGCTACCCTCCCTGACCTCCTTGGCAGGCTTCGGCCGTCCGGCAGCTGCTGAATCCATTTGAGAAATCGCTCCGTTCCTATTGCCAGTGGATGAACTCCAATGTTTGAGCTCAGTTAAATAATTCCAGACACTTATAACGATCAAAAATGCGCAGCTCAAAGAAAATGGATCACAGCCGACCGCCGCACCAGACCTCGTCCCGATACTGCCTGACTAAAGAAGCCGTTCACGCAAGTGAACAACGAAAAGGCTATGACGACGAAAGAAAGGATATCAAGCGTCATGGTCTGACAGATGTATGTTTTGAATTGGAATCCCTTTCTTGCAACTGCAGGTCTAATTGATGTTCACCACAGCGTCGTCGAACGCAGATGCGTCAAGCACAGAGAAAGTATCGATTCAGGAAAGAAGCGACTATCTCTCTGCTCCGGCGGAGGAATGCTGAACTAGAGAACGCTCTCACAACATTGAAGTCCACCACTCAGATACTTCAGGCCCAAATTACAGCCTTACAAACAATAGAGGGTGACTTCACGGTTGTGGAACGACTGCAGGATACGACGGCTCAGCTTCTGGCAGATATTGAAAACGCAAGAGAGGAACCTACAAGCCGATTGCTATTGGAACAGAAGTGCGATATTCTTAGTAATTACAGAATCCACTCGCCAATGTGGCAGCCATCCACTGACGGACATTACTCGCCTCGTTTCATACCAACCTTGGGGTATGAGATGATGGGCCATCAATGGAGTGATGCTTCATAGCTCTTCATTGTACGGTTCAGGTGTGGACGATGTCAGGAAGTGCATTTCAACCTTAGAGGGCTTGGATCACATCTGCTGACCTTAAATGGCCCAGTCAGGATCGTCCCATCATCAAAGGACTACTCGATGTGGATAAACGGCTGTTCTGCGAGGACTCTGGTTAATTGTCATGCCTGCTGTTCTATTCTTAATTTTTCAGATTCGATCATTGATGCACGATGAGTCTCGAAGGCACCTAGTAGTCGATGAAGAGAATGATAACTTCTCAAGCCCACGACAGGGAGATGCTGCCCTTGCCGGTGTATCTATATTTCTTGCCGATAATTCTGAGAAGACTTCGAGTCACTTAACCCGGACGGAGAGGAACTTTTGTTGTTTTTGATGTTGCTGTTACATTTTACCATTGAGAAGTCCCCGGACTAGATTTGTTTTAGAGTGGTAGACGAGAACAAAAACGATTGGTAACAAATTCGTATTCTAAAAGTATTCTGCCGAATTTTCCAGGTCTGACAACAACTCAAGCCCATGAATCCCGGGAAGACGTGAACCTCCCTCCTAATTAGTCAAAGAGATGTGTCTTCGAAGAAATTCAATCTGAGCCGCAATGTTCTCTTCAAAGTACTTCCCTCTGTAGATATCAAAATGCCCGGCGCCCTCCAGAAACAGCATTTGCTTTGGTTCCTGGGCTTTGGCAAAAGCCTCTAGCTGAGACGATGTTCGCACAGTAACATCATTTCCTGGGATCACCATAAGTAGTGGAGTAGGTGACACGCGATGGATCATTGCTTGCGCCTCAAACTCTAGCATGTAGAGTTGCGTTTGCTCGGTGACCCAGTTCTCCCAGCGACCCCCACAGTCGTAAATACCATCAAAGGATTCATAAGCGTGAAGGTCAGGAAAGAGAACAGGCGCAGAACCCGACTTTGCTTCTGCAAGGCTAGAGGCAATACAAGGCACTCTTCCTCTTTCGCCGCCTGACGCAATACGTGCACGATCCTGGAAAAGAGAAGGTATTCGGTCCCTGAACGCAATTGAGCGCGTTTCTCCGGACACTGCAGGTGCCTGTACCACAGCAGCTTTGATACGCTTGTCTATCGCGGCAGCATAAATGGTATTGCCACCGGAGAAGCTTGTACCCCAATAGGCAATACGCTCCGGGTCAACACCAGGAAGCGTGACGGCATAGTTGAATGCATCGTAGAGGTCTGTTTGCTGGAGTGCAGGGTTCGATTCCTGTCGAGGCTCGCCGTCGCTATCGCCCCAGTTTCGGTTGTCATACAGCATGACTGCAAATCCAGCTTCATGGAACCGAGCAGCGAAAGGTGGAAGCAAAAAATGACGAATCCCGGCAAGCTGCTACTATCAGCCTTGGTTGTGAGTGAGATATGGCTAAACACTTACTCCATGTGTCATGATAATACATGGGCTCTTAACAGTGGTTGGGTAATACCAGCCCCGTAAAGTTGTTCCATCACAGGCGCTGAATTCGATGTCTTGACGGGTAAGGGTCATCTCGTATATGGATCGAATGGAACTGATTGGGCCTTTGTAAAGGGTTCCAAGTTGTAAAACCGACGTAGGAGACTTTAAATGCTTTAACTTGACCCTGCTGGAGAGAGACAACGAAACGCCATTTGAATTTACCGGCAGTCGAATTTTCGGCGAATGATTTATCAACTGAAAGGGAGCCTCGGGAGGCCGAGTAGCGCATTGTACCAATACTGAAGGCCCCGGGAAGCAACTATTTCAAGGTTCTCCGAAAGCTAAAATTCGCCCGGGTTGATGAGCGATCAAGGAGCCTCGGTGCATCAGGATAACGCATCACGCCAGTTCATGCGCCAAAAGAAATATGGAGTATGCTCAGCTCCATACGGATGGTAAGCGCACAACACTGAACTTATCGTCATCATAGAGTATAAAGTCTTGCACTCAAGCTCAGAAATATCTCCCCAAACCTTGTTCGTACCTCGTCATTCCCCCGGGTTTACTAGTCGGCCAACGGTAAGCGATCTTCCTCCGACACTGAGTTTCAGTTCACAAATCTAACTATACGCGACCCAGAGACTTCCGTGTGCTTTACTAAGAGACTTCTGCCCAAATGCCTCGACTTAGGCACCACATCTCTGGTGCGGATTGGGTTGCAAAGGGCCCTCAGTCCCCAGCGCAAGAGTTTTTCAAAAATTATGTCGACACAGTGGATGCAAATGGCTTTGAGAATGGGTCTGGTACGCGGTTCTATGCCAAAGATGCCATTTTCCACAATCAGAATAATGCGCAGTACCACGGAGGAGATGAAATGTGGGCATTCATGAAGAAACTTTTCGGTGGATTCCGACGCATGAGACACGACTTTATCAACGTTTTTGAGATTGAAAATGACGACTCTACCATTCAGCTTATCTCGCAGAATGTACGCAACATTTGGATGCCGGGTAACGAGACTGACCAGCCATCTGTCAGTATCCCCATGAGCTGGATTTGCCAAATCGGTCCTGCCGATGAGCCGGGTACTGTGAACGGCCTGCAGTATAAAGAAGTCTGGCTTTACTGGGATACTGCTCTGCTTGCACCATTTCTACCAGAAGACGCAGTGGCATTCCAAACAAAGAATATCCTGGTGGAGGATTGATCATTCACTTAGTCGGGGTAAACGATGGCCCCCGGTGAGATTTAGATACGTGGACGAGTGTTACACCGGGGTGGGACTAGCCAGTTTGCCTATATCGAATCCGTTTATCTCATCCAGACTCATCAACAAAAACTTAGATAGCTTATGCTTGTAGAAATCTCGTAACGTAGTGTTCTATTCTAGGGCATTTTGCAGGACTTTCTCTTATGCCCAGCTGACCCTGGAAATAACACGTTCGGTGCCAGATGGTAATGGTAATATGTTAGGGTTATCTCAAGAAGTCCAGCCATCTTTTCGAAATATAGACCTGGTCTTTTGTCGAGGTGGTCGCAGAGGCTGTCAAGCATCAGTCCTCTGATACTTGACAGTTGACTGCCCAGGACTAGGGCCGCTTTTAGGCACCTACACCAATCACCGCCGACATACTATGTCACTAGCGCCACACCGAACTATAACCCTTGGGTTGGAATTCGCGGCGTTTCATAAAGACTCATAGTGTGCAGATTCGTGTTACGATGGATTAATCATCAGCAGATACCAGCTTGGTTCAATTACGACGGCTTTACTCTAAGAAGTAGTCTCATACTCAATAGGATGCGCAATAGGATGAAATAAGATTCGCTATTCATGGATTAACCGACTCCTACACTACACTAGTTCCGGGGTCGCCTCTTATTTCGTATCCTCATATACCACCGCCTCCTCCTTCTTGATCCACTCCTGCCAACGTCCAGGCTGCTCAAATGGAGGGGCCATGCCGTTGACTCTTCATTTTGGGCGCGGATGTTCGTAGATATTGTATTCCCATTTAACACCCCTGGGTTTCATGATGGGTCATCGAAGGCCAGAATATATTCCCGAGTGGTCTTGACGTTGAACACCCCATCGACTGTCCCAGCCCGTTTGTGACCAGCAATTACCATGTGGGGGTTGAGAGATTCAATTTTATCAAGAGCATGCAGCCATTCCTGCCTCTTGGCAGGTGTAGTGGCTTCTCCGAAAAACTGATGTACACCTCCGTAGACTATATCTCCCGCGACCACCAGGTGAATGTCGGGGACACGGAGGACAGTGGTATCATAGGTGTCAGTGTGGCCGACTTCAACGGTGTTGAATTCGTGCCCTTCTATCATGAACGTGGGAGATGACATTTCTTCGGCGAGGATGAAAGGCTGCGCGATTTGGCCTCCCGGGAAGAATCTGAGCCAGGTGTCTTCGAATACGGCGGGCTCGGTTTGCTGTTTCATGTGAGCCACGGTTCCGGGCGTAGCTAGGACATGAACATTTGGCCAGTACTTCTTCAGCACTGGAAGACCAAACCAGTGGCCTCCATGGCCGTGGGTGATGTAGATGAAGGCTAATTCCTTTCCTGGGGCCGTTTCTTTGATCCACTGGACCAGATCCTCTGTTTAAGAAATTGAGATGGGTGTATCAACGAGCACCACTTCTTTCTCGCCCTGAATGAGGGTGCACGAGATCGCTGAAAAGCTACTGGTGGTACCTGCACGCTTGACGGCGATGGGTAGTCGTGAGGAGACATAAACGTCTGCGCGAAGGGATATCATCTTCAACAGTTGCGATTGTTCGCAAAGGACAGCCAATGGTTCTCGTTGGGGACGGGCACGGGAGAAAAACGAGACGAAAGTCGAGGGAGGTCGAATCTGTATAATTGTCTGCCTGCTGCTCTTATGGCACTGCTACTCACCCAGCAGGCTATTGACATGCAAATTGTTTTATTCGGGTACTCTAACCCGCGGGTCTGACTGATCACTGATCATGACAAATGCCGCTTATACTGCTGTGGGTCTGAATAATAACGTCATCTATCGCGTTGGGCGGGGTGATATTGATTTCATTTATGCTCTTCATCCTTGGATTGGCTTCTCTTTACAAACCGAGGTTTGATCACTGATCATGTCCTCATTCGTAGCTCATGTTCAGGAAACATTCAAGTGGATGATATTAAACATCGGCAGACCCACCCCGCTAGTGATCAAATTGGGCCCTCCACCCTACAAAGCCCTCGGAGAGTGACCCTCATGGACCTCCCTTAACCTCTCAGCCTAGGATTTGCATAACTAACCTTACTAGGACGCGCCAAAGTGGATGATGCATCGGCCAGGAATCGGCCGGTTTTGGATTGACCGGCCAGTGACAATTAATTGAAACAGCGAGGGCAGCAGAAGAAGCTAGTGGGCTTTTTTATCTTTCATACGCATCTGATGCGTTGAGACAAATAGTGCAAAGAACATCAAAGCTAGGCTACCGCGGAAATTTGGGTTACCGGTGTAGCGAGGGATGTTACTATAAGGCACTACTAGCGGGTTAGTATTGGATGAAGCTTTGGGCTATCCTATCCGCACGGTCAGGTCCCATCAAAAAGTGGTCGATTTATCAGCCCATCACCACCTTTTCCTGTGGGATTAGACCTCAAAATTCGTCATGGAAATACAAACATTCTAATCGAACCGGGCGAATTTTGGTACAAATCTCATCAGGCATGACTTCGAGTATGAGGAAATGGCCAGCTCGAGCTACATTTTAACTTGCGCTACGGTCAATTTTCAGTTGGCCGATTAGTGGATACAGTAAAATTGTGTGAGAGCAAGCCGGGGGACAGTATAGGTTACTAATCCTCTCCCGTGAATACCCGAGATTAAGCAGAGCGAATCTTCGGAGATAAAACAAGAGGTTAATTGATTGAAGAAAAAACGAGATCATCGGCCAGGTTGACATACCCAATAAATGGCTGAGATACGCGGGGGTTACGACAATCGTTATACCAGAGATACCGAATTACTATACATATTGCTACCGGAGAAGACCCAGAAAGCCTAGTACTGTACGTACGTACGTGAATCCATTATTATCCTCCGTGCCCGCAATGGGCTCCATCGACGTCCAGAGCTATGATTGACTAGTAATGTGAGTCATGAAACACTGATCATGAACTTTCAGTCTGTGTATAAAGCCGCGTTGGCCCTCAAATCACAGTTTCAAGGATATATTCTGGATGCGAACCGAGCAACGTTAAATTCTAAATGTCAGAAAGTCCCATTACTTACCGTTACGGCCGTGTGGAGGATGATGAGGCGATCTCTGAATTAGGGGCACGTGTTTTCACCTCGACCTTCGCATCGTTGCTGCCTCAGAATGACCTAGCATCCTATCTATCCGAGGCATACTCGACGACAAATATCGCCGCCGACTTGAGAAACCCCTCGGTTACTTTTGTGGTAGCCACTGTTGATAACACTCTCGTCGCGTTCCTCCAGCTCAGGCGTGACACGTCCGCAAAGTGCATCGATCAGATGGAAAGCAAGATTCAGTTGCAACGGTTGTATGTTAGTGAAAAGTGCCAAGGACTGGGGATCGGGAAGCATCTATTGGCGCGAGCAGAGAGGGAGGCTAGGGATATCGGAGCCAAGAATATCTGGCTAGCATCATGGAAGCCGAATCACAAAGCTGAACGCATCTATGAGAGCACCGGATACGTCAAGGCAGGGGAGATAGCATTCGCTTTAGGTGGTTCTACGTTAGAGGATTGGGTCATGGTTAAGTCGATTTAAATATAGAAGAGCTCGTACGTCGGGGGGTTGTTGAATATCTGTGGCATCAAAAACCAGACATACGCATGTAACATGGGCGACTTTTAGGCAGGATTACACCACGGCAGCCGACCAATTCATTTGGAACCTGTTGGATCAATATGCCATGACTGGTTACCTTATCACCTGGCCATAAATACTCAAATCGAGAACGGGGTGTTACGAATGGAACGACCGGGGGTAACTAGTAGGACTAGAAAGATGGTTGATGAGTTTGCCATTTTTGACTGATGATGGGAGAAAGCATGGCTGGATTGGGATGATCAGGTTTACAAACAACTTCCCCCACCAGATAAATCTCTCCTTACTTCTTCCCTCAGTCTTGATACCTTCGTTGAAATGCACAAGTTGTTTTAATCTTCTTCCTGGCGTGTAACACTGGGTACATCCTTCAGCAAGTGCGCACACGTAAGCTAAGAGTGAAGGATTTCCGAAATATCGAGCAGTCCTGGTCTTGACAAAGAACTCGTACTTCTGAAGCAGTAGAAAGCTTTATCAATCCGCCAGGCATCATTCTCAAGTTTGGGATCCAGTTAAATTCGCATGCGCTGAACTTGAGCTACCGAACCAAAGCCGACGGCTGTTACAAACATGCACAAAGTTTTCAAATCAACATAGTAGCAATCAACGAACGTATCAAGACTGGAGAGAAATAAGGGGAAGAATTCAGAATCAACCAAGAAAATACCCTTTAAACAGTGGGTCAACAAGCAACATGAGGTTATTCCCATTATGTTGTAAACCGCCTAAACATGCTAAAGCTCCATATCCGTAACACCATTGGGCTGGGTGGATGGGAGAAAATAATTATAACGCTTTCCATCGGGAATTCTCTTCAATAAATTGATCGTAGATTACCATCGAACTTTGAATGTGTGGCTGCTAAACAAATTGCTTGATCCACATCGGTGCGCCGAAATCCCGGGGAATAGCCTAGACAGATCGCTTTGGCTCTGAGTGCTGCCGTAAAGAAAAGGTCAGCCTGCGATAATTCCGAAACTTGGGGTACACATCTTTACATTGTAGCAAGCACACTTGGTCAACGCCAGCGTGAAATCGCGTCCTCAGTCTTGAGGCTGATATCGGCGCTGATAATGTAACAACATGTTCCGCAAGATATCCAGCTAAATCATGCAGGTCAAACCAATCCCCTGAGAGATCTGATTTTATAGAAGGGGAGAAATCAGATACGTCGACTGGGATCCAAGAACGTTGACGATATCTTGGTCCTGCCTCTCGAGGTATATTTCCCGGATAATGGATTCCTGCGCCCCCGAGGCGGAGAAATGGGATGTTCTCCCATTTTGTTTCTATTGTTTGATCAATTTTGGATCGAATCGAGGATGCGAAGAGCGAAGTAGCATCATTGCGGTCCATGAGCGTCAGTAGTAAGCCGAATTTGTATTCCAGCTGACTGGTGCGGACCGACGCATCGCTGAGCCCTAAGTATCCCACATAGAGGCAAGTGGTATGCAGCCACTCGATGAAATCTGCTAAACTCATCGCTAGCACAGGCCAGAGAGCCCAAGATAAGGAAATCCTTGCGAATGGGGTTTCCCTTTGCTTTTGTTGTTTGTCTTCCAAACTGTCACTTCTGCTGCGAGTACTCTCAATGATTGAAGTGAAGGGTGGTGGTACTCTGGCAGATGTCTCAATCTTTCTTCTTAGTTTTCTCTCTAATTCAACATCATAAGACCCAGATAGAGACTGCTGTATTGCACGAAGCCGAACGATCAATATCTCCTGAATAGACTGATTTCCGGAGTCAGTCGCCATATTCTGGATCTCAAGAAGGGTGTCGCGGGCTCCCTGGAGCGTATTTTCGAGTAACGAAACACGGGTTTTCAGCGCCCTCAAACTTTCTTCCTTGCGGGACCGGTACGCCCTCTGTGCCAATCGAATTTGCATCCGACGACGCTGAAACACTTCATTAGTAAAAAGGATCGGCATGGTGCAAAGGTTTAGGCTGTTCAAACATCTGCTTTTGAGCCCTTTGCTTCCACCTCTTTTCTTCCAAGGCGAGGGGTTTGTAACCTGCCCTCCAACAGGGCTGCACTTGAATTGCTTTGTTGTTGCTGCTGCAAGGTAGGAGAAAGTTCCGAGCAATCTAGGTCATTATTGACCTCTTCGCCATATGCTGGGAGAACAGCCAAAGCAGCACGTCCATCATAAAGCGGCATGTCTGAAGGGCTATTTTTCCCATTGGGAGGGATACTTTGTTTAGGAAGGGAGAAAGCAGTTGCCGATAGTAACGATGAAAGAAGTGGCATAGAGGGAACACCCTCTGCAAATGGACATTGGTACTCTGATTCTGACTGTTCTGTACCACGAATTGATGGGTCTCCCTTGCGAATCACCTCCAACCACAAATTGTGCGAAAGGTATCCCACACACCCCAGTGGCAAATTGTGGCTCCTTGGAACGCTTGATATTGCATCAATGCTCTGGAGCATAGATCGCAGTTGGAGAAGCTAGTTAGGATCGACCGGCAGAGCCTTGCCAGCGGCGATAGCACCGAATGGCACCCTTTTTATATTTACCAAGGCCATGCCGAGGTTGATTATGCTATCATCACTTCCAATCCGGCAATTTTGAGGGACAGCCACCTAATTTTGATAGAGGACCATCTCGTGTGCGCTTCCCGCTTAGTTGTAACTATAATATTCCCCGTCGCTCCACCATCACCACCACCACCACCACTACTACTACTACTACTACTACTGACCATAATATAATGTAGCTTCTTTGGGTGGCCAGAGCGAGGTTTTGAAACACTCATTCGCCGCTCACGTTCTTTTGTGGGTGATATATCGCGATGAGGAGATCCAGGAGTAGCACTTGTGAATACGCATATAACCCCATCCAATAGAATGTGGCGGGCTAACCGGCGAAATTATAGTTTGCCGTTCACCTTCTCTTCTCGTCTCCACTTCCGCCACGGACGACTCTTTTTCGTGGGAGGCACTCCGTTCTCCACGTATTGAGGCCCGATTCACACTGTTTCGAACCTTTTATTTGCTCTTTTACATGGCATTTTGATTAAAGAATAATGCGTGCTGGGGGCCAGCGTCTAGCAACACGGTCAGAACCGCGGCACCTCGGTCCATCGGCGGTGAGACCACAGAAGAAATCTATTGCGTGAGTACGCAAATACTCTTGTATTCTTAGAGCGTTCACTCATATTTCATCTAGATGCTATCGATGCCATTCACAAAAAATCAAATGCTCCGGGGAGAAGCCATGCTTGAGGTGCCGCAGGGCTGGCTATGCCGCGCAATGCGGATATGCCAATCGTGATCGCAAAATACGAGTTGATGAAAGGTAATCCATGGACTTCGGTATTCTCCAAAGGAAAAAGGGTGTGATGAGCTTAAGATCTTTCATGAGCAGCTATCTCGAGCAGCTTATTCAAGATAGCCAAGAACTCCGTGAACAACGAGCTCGCGAAAACGAAAGAGCACATCATACTACGGACGACACCACGACGCAACCTGCCGAGACTCCAGTGACTAATTTTTACGATCACGCAGTAAGCGAAACTCCATGGTTTCAGTCTCAAGACACTTCTGTACTTCCGATCTACATTAATGAAGCAGCTTGCACGACGTTCGCCACCCGGCTTTGCCAGTGTCTGCGGGGCACTGACGCCTCGATACTACGCATCCCGCAATACCGGTATACTAGTGAATCCACATTGACGTCCCTGCTTCAAGTGGATGTGCAGTGGCCTAGCTTAGTACATGCGACGTTGCTGGTGAAGACTGCGCTTTGCCATATTAATCCGTCCTTTCACCTAGCATTAAAAGGGGAAACGATGAGCTCGCTCCAAGATGTCTATCGAACGGCAGACTTCAACAACCCGACCCTCCAATGCAAATATTTTGCCCTGTTTGCTATAGGTCAAGTCTACTCTACCCCTTATAATTCCATCAACGCCTCGGCAGTGTCCGGTTCAACTTATTTTGCTCATGCTATGAGTGTTATCCGGTTCGTGCCGGAGCGGCCAAGCCTCATCCACATTGAGTGCTTACTTCTTCTTGTATGTTTTTTGGACACTTCATTGTTTTCCATATTACTAATGCTGATAGCGGAAAAGGCATACTTTTGCCAATTTCTGAACAGGTTCCACTCCGCCTATCTCCTCGTTGGTAATGCCTTGCGTCTCGGTCTCAGCCTTGGCTTAAACTATAACGTCCCAAAAAGCCAACGTCTGCCCACGGTGGAAAGGGAGCATCGTGTACGCATATGGTGGTCCATCTATGTTCTTGATCGCTTCTGGGGATCAAAATCAGGATTCCCTGTGCAAATTCACGATGACGATATCCATGTTGATCTGCCCTCAAGTCTGGTTTCTGAGACTTGCGGGGAACAGTTTGCAGCTAGCTCATATCAGGTAGCAGCCATCGCGCTTGCCAAGATTACAGGCAACACGACAAGAGAAATTTATAGCCGGAGGAAATACACTGAGAGCTTCCTACAGCGCGAGCAGAAGCTTCTAATCCAGCTGAAACGGTGGGTACAGTCTCTTCCTGAGGATATCAGGCTTCATGCAGACAAGGTCAATGCAAAGGACACTCTGCTTCTGCATCTCCAGTTCAACTATGTGAGTTTGGGAAGTCCCAAGCAACCATTATCTTCGCCTGACCGATGCAGTGTGTAATTTTGGCAATTCGCCCTGTTCTGCTCAATCTACTCATCGGCCATACAAAAAGTCATCGCATTTATTCAACTGGGGATGTTACTCCAATTTTGGCTGCCTTGTGTGAGGCATGCATTCACGCCGCGAGATATTCTCTGAAGCTATGTGTCGATGAGTTCACAAATGGGTCCATTGCGAGCTTTGGCTACGCCTTTCCTGCATTCATTTTCTCCTCTGCATTAGTCCTGGTTGTTTCAAGCATCTTGCCATTTGGGAGCGTGGATGATTTGCCGTCTGTTGATACGGCAATAGAAATGCTGAACATTCTCAGTGCTTCTGATAATCTGCCGGCCAAGGACCTACATGAACATCTCCAGAGAGTCCGACAGTGCCTGCAGCATCATCAATCCAATCTAACGTCGCCTGTGATTGAGAAGGGCTGCAACGATATTGGCAATCCTTCGTCAATGCCCAATCAGCTGCTACAACTGCCGCTGCAGAGTGGTACCTGCCCATCTCTTGATCAGCTTTCTCTCAATCACGCGGCGCCTGGATCCTCTGTCATCGATTTTGCACGCTCCAGTCTTACAACCGAAATGGCTCTTCAAAATCCCCTAATGCAAGAGTTTATGGAGCAGTCGTCAATGGATATTGGGCTGATAAATCCTCCAGAGATACAGAATGACTCTGATTTCGCCTTCCTCTGGTGTGCCGACGCCCTTGATACAGAATAAAGTCAATCAATACGCCCTAAGTTGGCTCGGGTTCGCGGCGGGTCTGCCTACAAAAACCGACCCGATAACAACTCTAGGCTTCAGATATGAATACAATTCATGAATATAAATACCAGAACACATATAAATAACAGTGGGCTTTAAGTAATGCATCAACATTTTTATGTAGGCTATTTAGGAGTGGTTTAGAAAAATTAAATGTGAATGATTGAGGGTCATGGCAAGGTCTAATTTATCTCTATGTCGTCTTTCCAAAATTTCTTTCTCCATTCCTGTCGTCTAGCGCGATGTTCCTTGAATGTATTCGATGAGGGAACGATATCAACTTCTGCTAAACAAGAAGCCAGCTGCAAGGTTCTCGTTGGACTCGACCGCAGCAGCTTCGCTGTCGGCGTTGTATTTGGTTCATCTGTCGACTCTGCTAGCTATTCTCACTCGTGCCTCGGCCTTTTCTGTACTGAGTAGGCTGCCTTGAGCTTTTCCACTTTACTGGTTATCATTTCTGATCGGCTGACCCACAAGAGGATTTAATCCTTGTGGGTCGGACTGTTGCTAAGCAAAGACCGGCATTTTTGAAGGTTGCCGTAGTGTGCCATCACCTGATCCAATTAGAAATCCGGCGTTGGCCGATAAAATGAGAGCATAGTTCATCTACCACGTTCTTTCACATTTTCCATCGCATCCATGGATCCCAAGTACACGTACTCTTATTTCCGAGTTTCTAAAACCGAGGCCGTCCTCGATTCTGCACGGAAATACCGCGATCTACGTTTACGGGCCCTGCAGGAGTCGCCCGGATCTTTTGCGTCCACATATGAAATCGAATCTAAGTTTACAAATGCCGACTGGGCCGACCGCGTGACCGTTCCTGATCGTGAGATCTTTATCTGTGCCGCTACTCCCATCCAGCCCGATCGAACTCAACTGGATGTTATGGAATGGATCGGCCAGGTCACTCTCCGCGGCCCCATGTCTCGGGATGAGTTCACCCTACCCGTTGAATCCGGACAACGACCACCGAAAAGGGATGAGGAGGAAGAACGCTGGCAGATGCTGAGCTTGTTCACGCTTTCGGAACATCGAGGGAACGGCCTGGGCCGGAATCTGTGCCGCGAAGCGCTTCAATATCTTCGAAATTACCGATCCGACCCTCCAAACATTCATGTGCGACTCATGGTTAAGCCAGAGAACCATGTCACTGTGAGCCTATACAAGCGTCTTGGGTTCATAGAGGCTGGTAAAGCCACACTTGCAGAGGCACTTATTGCCAACGGAGACGGGCACTGTCTGCCTAAAGATACGAGCACGGCAAAATACTCAGATCGCACCGGATTGATCATGGTTTTTGACATATCACGCCCATGACTTCGTTGTATGATGCACATCAAAAATAGACTAGGGACTAGAGCGTTGTTCATATTGCTACTCTCACCAATCTTCTGTTACAAACGGGACATTCGGAGCCTCTAACTTGATTTTGTTCCCCGTACCACAATTATATATTGGGCTTTAGGGAAATATAAGCATTCTGGAGTGCCTTGTAGCTCAGGACACTTTACTGGCCAATTCTGAATATATTCTAGTTGGACTTATAGCGGTTAATTAGTAATCAGTATTATAGCTTACTGTTAGCATAGATAGGTTTGTCAATAAATACTTAAATTAATCAATTTTAAGGTTCTACGTAAGATGTTGGGGGAATAAAGTCTTCAAGGCGCTACCTTGATGTCAATGGCATTTTGGTCGAGTGGGATTGACATAAGACATAAACAGCATTACCATATTTAGTATCAAGTTGAGCAATAAATCAATATCAGGCTGTACATAAAAGGTCAGATTGTTGGCCGGATTGATCGGTTGCAGGCACGAGTGGTAGAACGCTTAACATATATTAAAAAGCGAAAGCGTCCTACTAAATAGATTGCCTTTGAAGAAGTCATATCAGTATCTAATCCCGAATCTATCGGACCGATTATCTATATATAGAGGTCTGAATTTATGGTGGTTTGATTATCTTAATTTTATTATTTGGCAGTGGTGCGCAGGACGCTTACCGATTACGTGATGGGCTACAATTAACTAGCTTTCTCTAGAGAGCAAAGGCTAGATAATGGAAGTAAATTAACACAGTGCTATTGTCCCAGAGCGCACTAAGAGTGATAAAATGCTAGACCATGCATTAGTCGCAACACGGCGATTATAGAGACGTTTTCCGCTTAGCCTCAGCCTCGCGCGTCCCCACAACAAATCCACGCATTGCTCCAACCCTGCCACACTCGAATGCCCCTAGGCACTACATTTACACCTGGCTTCATAGCTAAATACTACCGAGTGCTACAATTAATGAGTTCGAAGTGCAAGATGCTTCAACAAGACGAAGGAGTTGTACAGCAAACTCGCGCTGGCAAGCCTCCGCCGAACAGCAGCACAGACGAGGAATCCGACCTAGAAGAGTTCAAAGAGATATCTCCCGAGGCTATCACGGTAGCTATCTTTTGTGCTTTATCGTATGAGGTTGTCGCAGTGAAGTACAGTCTCGATGAAGAATTCCGGTGTCGTTGTATGGCCGCAGGTCCACAGAAATACATCTATTCTTTTGGTCGCATAGGGAGTCACAGTCTTGTTATTGCTCGACCCTCTCAAATGGGCACTGTGAGCGCCGCCCAGTGTGCTGCAACTGTTAGTCAGCAGTTTCCCAACGTACGCTTTGCAATGATGGTCGGCATTGGTGCTGGCATCCCCAACCCTCCCAGTCGTGACATTCGTCTCGGCGATATCACTGTTAGCATCCCCAAGGACAATCATCCGGGTGTTATACAATATGATTTCGGAAAATATGAGGTAGATGGCTTCGTTCTTAAAGGGTCTCTCAACAAACCCCCGTCGATTTTGATCAGTGCAGACGGCTCATTGGAAGAAGACGAAATGATGGACCGAAGTCCGCTCCGGAAGATTTTAAGGAGTATCACAAAAAAGCCTGGATTTGAGCGACCAGACACTGGCGATAATCTATTCAGGGAAGATTTTCACCATGTCGAGAAAGGTAGAGACTGTACCGAATGTCTTGCACCCGGCACTGCAAAACTCGTTCTTCGTCCAACACGTCGTCGAAAGGATCCTGTGGTCCATCGTGGCCTTATCCTTTCAGGGAGTGGTGTGGTCAAAAACCCTCAGGATCGGTATCGCCTATGCCGGAATTATAATAATGCGATTTGCTTCGAAATGGAGGCTGCCGGCATTATGGATGAAGTCCCTTGCTTAGTAGTCCGAGGAATATGTGATTATGCAGATACACATAAGCAGGATGGATGGCATTACTTCGCTGCAGCGACTGCAGCCTCTTATTGCAAAGCTGTGCTTTGCAAGTTTGATAACAAATCACTAGAGGGAATAAGCGACATGAGGGACTCTATCAGCAAAAGGATAGCGATAGTACAAGAAAGTCAGCTGTATGTTACTCATGTTACTCCACTGATGATCGTCAACGCTGATAATGCGAAGTAACATCCAAAGCGCGGTAGAAGAGATAGGTGAAAAGAAAGATCTAGCACGCCTTCCAATTGCTAAGGGTGCTGCGCTCGACTCCTATGAGAACCAGCATTCACAATGCCTTCCAGGGACAAGAGTTGAGCTTCTTCAGCAAATTCAACAGTGGGCAGCATCAACGGAAGGAAAATGCATATTCTGGTTACAAGGCATGGCAGGTACCGGGAAGTCGACCGTCGCCCGAACTGTAGCCAACGACATCGGGAACAAATCATTCCTCAGAGCAAGCTTCTCTTTTACACGAGGCGAGCAAGATCGACAAAATGGCAAACGGCTGTTTCCAACGCTCATACAGCAACTTCTGACCGTCATCCCTGGACTGATCCCTGCGGTGAGGCAGGCAATTCAAGATGACCCTCAAATTTCCGAAAAACCGCTCCAAATACAGTTCGAGAAGCTACTGTTCCGTCCCATTCTTGGCTTAAGCCTGGATTGGATTAGAAATGTGATTATTGTACTTGATGCGTTGGACGAATGTGAAAATGAAAACGATATAAAGCTTATCCTTCAACTCTTGCCAAAGCTTCAGCAGGCAAAAGCTCTCAAGCTACGTTTTTTTATCACCAGCAGACCAGAAATACCTATCAAACTGGGCTTCCAGGCCATTGCCGATCAACATAAGTATATTGTTCTTCATGAAATACCCGAAGTGGTGATCAAGCATGATATCCTCTTGTTTTTAGAGCACAGATTTTCGAAAATAAGGCAGGAATCCTTGCTCAGAGGACGGGCCCTTCCGCCGAATTGGCCGGGAAAGGATACTATCCAGTCAATAGCTACACTGTCAGTTCCCTTATTTATTTTCGCGGCGACCCTGTGTCGTTTCGTTGGGGACAAGAGATGGACCCCAGAAAAGCGACTCGCAGCAATATTCGAGGACCCAGCTATGCTCTCCGCATCTGAGATGGAAAGGGTATATTTGCCCATCCTTAATCAGGTTATTTCCGGTCAAACTAAAAGAGAAGAAAAGCAGCTGGTTCAAGAATTCCAGGCAATAGTTGGCGCTATCGTACTGCTGGCCTCCCCGCTTTCAGTCAATGCACTTGAACAGCTTCTTAATATTCCTCGGAATGACATAAACAATCGACTGGATACATTTCACTCTGTTCTTGAAATACCGAGATCTCCAGAAATGCCTGTGAAACTGCTACACGTATCATTCAGAGATTTTCTTCTTGATCCTGACATTAAAGCAAAAAGTCCATTTTGGGTGAATGAGAAAGAAATGCATGAAACAATAACTTTCAAGTGTTTGAAGATAATGCAGCGTTTGAAGTTCAATATCTGCAACTTACGAACCCTCGGTACAGAGCTCGCAGATATTAACCCGCAATCTATCCAGCGCTATATCAGTCCAGGGTTACAATATGCCTGTCAATACTGGGCATATCATTTGACGAGGACCACTGACCCAGTCGTTCTAATGAAGGAAGCTTTCCTATTTCTATCTAAATATCTTCTACCATGGTTAGAAGCAATGGCTTTTCTAGGTGTTCTATCTAAAGCCCTGCAGATGATTGATATGTTGCAAACCATTCTTCAGGTGAGGCCATCTCCAGTACTGATATAGTTATTACTGCTAAGTGCATGACTTTTCAATGCCCCAGGATGGAAGAAATCCAACTATTTCACGGTTCCTAGATGATGCTCACCGGTTCGCTCGCAAAAATAAATATATCGCCGAAATCGCCCCCCTTCAGCTATACTCATCCGCGCTTATATTCACACCAAGATCTTCCAGTATCTGGAAATTATTTAAGAAGGAGGTTACTGACCATATATCGATCTTCCCCACGCTCTCGGTGGACTCGGATAGAGAACGCCAGACACTTTGTGGCCACACAAATGACGTTACCATGGTGGCCTTTGCACCAGATAGCCGTTTCCTGGCATCGAGCTCTACAGACAGGACGGTCCAGCTTTGGGATACCCGAAGTGGGTCCACTCAGCGAATCTTCGAGGGTCACTCATGTCCAGTGATATCAGTAACTTTGTCCAGATATGGTCAACTGCTGGCGTCATGTGACGAAAAGGGGACGATTATGATTTGGAACACATTGACTGGAGAGCTTTGCCAGACTCTTGACGATGAACCCTGCGCTGGTCAGATGGCCTTTTCACATAATAGAAGTAATGAACTCCTATTGGCGTCTGCATCGAAAAATGGGAAAATCATTTTCTGGGACCCAGATACTGGGAGGGTACGACAGAGTACTGTTGTGGGGCATCCTGAACCTGTTTTTACTCTAGCCTTTTCGCCAGATAGCCGATTACTCTTCTCCGGGTCTTTGGATGGCACTGTCAATGTTTGGGATACTGCGACTGGAAGTTTACAGCGGACCACTAAGTTCGCTTTCACAAGGAAAGGATGGTTAAGAACACCACAAAAAGAATTTATCTCGATCTCACCGAATTGCCAGTTACTAGCATACGCTACATCCCCGGTAATGCAAACTTTCGACATCGCAACTGGAAATACTAATTCAGGGACTATTTCATTTAACCGCATTAGTTGTCTGGAATTCTCACCAGACAGCCAATGGTTCGCTGTGGGTGGCCCGAACGTGATCAACGTTCGGGATTCGGCTACAGCACTGACTGCCTACAATTTTCAGTGTCCTGGGAACGAAGCTATATTTCTGACATTTTCACCAGATAGTGAATCAATGGCAGCATGCTTCGAACAGAAAGAGTTGGTCAAGATTTGGGACCTTACCAAAACGAGAATATACCAGAAACAGTATAAAAGCACATCAGAATTACCAACAAGGGACGATCTTGCAATGGACAAGAGAGTATCAGAAGTTGTGGATATAATTACACAACCTAATGACGAACGCAGCAGGAGTGGAGTTGGTTATCCTGGCAGTGTACCCCCCGACCTTTTTGTATTCACGGCAGACGGGAAACGTCTCCTCTCACACTCTGACGTAGACGGCCAGGTATATCTTTGGGACGTCACTACCGGACAGAAGTTATGGGATACCAATACAACGTATGGCAAGAACGGATTCTCACCTGACCGTCAACTAATGGTGACCATGGATACTGATGATGAAATTCAAATCTGGCATACAGCATCCGGCTGTCTATACAAGGCTGTCGCTGTCCCTTACGACCCACGCAAACACACCAACATAGAGTTTTCTGAGGATGGGCACTCTCTAAAGATTTTCCAGCAAGAGAAAGATCCGTTTCGGAGGACTAAGAAGGAGCAAGAGTGGACGAAAATCGTCCAGCTCAGTCAACCTGTCCTGAGCGCCAGCAACACTCCGAGTGTACCTAGATATAATTATGATATATCCGTGGTTGATGAAGAGTGGATTACCTGGCACGGGAAACGGATGGTGTGGCTTCCCCCAGCATACCATGCTGAGAGTTTCGCTGTGTATGGCAGCTGTATTGCCCTTGGACATGGAACAGGACTCGTTTCTTTTCTGGAATTCCGTTTGAATCCTCAAAATGGTGCAGTTTCGGTTCCAACATCTGGAACCCCGAACTCCACTTTGAAGCCATCCGGTTCTAAAATATAAGAACCTCACTGTATTCCGGCTTCATGTACTTCTATTACAGTTCAAATCTTCTGCAATCATAGCGAGAGAGAGAGAGAAACGCATTATATCCGAATACAGCCCCTTTAAGGGCTCTTCTCGTGGTGCCAACGCTATAGGGAGGTTGAAGACACACTCAAAGGGGTAGAGCGGAAGATGTCGAGGGGAGCAAGCAGTAGGGCCCTATGTTGAAGACTTCTACAATCATAATTGTATTCTTATGTTAATTTTTTTTTCTTTTGTTTTTAAGCCACAAATAATTTAGGTTTGCAATAAGGAACAGGCCTGGAGTTATGATAGTCAATTTTGTTCACCCAAGATATCAGATATACGCATGAGGCTGTCGGAAGAACGACGGAATCGAACAATGTGAGGAACAGTAGAGCATGAATATCAAAAGTTTTCCTTTGAGGTTGAGGCGATTAGGTCCTTCTGTGCACATTTGTGCGCAAATGCGCGACGTGTAACGCAAATTCTAAGATTAGGTGTACGACTAGTAAAGTTGAATACCCATTTATCCTCGATATTAGTAGGGGCGAAGGAGTACTACAGTTTAAAAGCAGGATATTGGCCATTTCTTGTATCTGTGCAGGCGGAGGAGGTGTTCCATGTTTATGTAGTAATATAATTAATTGCCTAAGCGATTCATCATCACCAATAATTAATTTTATAGCATTGAGGCGACTGCGCAGGGTAGATTTAGGTATTTAAGACATTTCCGTTGCCGCCTTCCTGAAGGCTACCAATTTATGGTTTTTCATACCTGATATAGCTAATAGGATCCTGTCTCCTTATCCAACGCGTAATGGTACGTGACTCGCTTACCAATAACCTTATTATAATATTTTATGGTTTAAAGGAATGAAAACCTGCTGGCTCGACCATGATGCGTAGAATTTGGTGGATGTCGTGGGAGGGCAAGTAAAGTAATTGCTTGGCGGATTTGGACAGCCGGCACTGGTTTGTCCTACTGCGAGAGTATTAGAACAAGCGCGAGTACACACCTTCGAACATTCTATTTTTCCTGGTAGAGGTACAAGAAGCTGATGCGGTGGAGGCTGATGCCAGAATGATAAAAATGGTCTTCAAATGTATCTTTTCAAAAAAGTATTGCGTTTAGAAAGGGATCCTGTTAGCTGTAGATCGAGCTTTAGAATGAAGACTTACTGATCTCAAGGCCTTTGGATATATTGTATAGAAAGAATACCTCATACAGGAACGTTCAGTGCTTTTTATACTTGGCATGATCAGAGAAAATTGCGCATCGTGTGGCAAACATCGCGTAAAACATCTTTCCCACAGTGCGGTAGGTCAGGCCAAGGAAGCTCACACGAGGAGTACAACTAGTACAGCCAAGGCCGGTCTAGCTCTTCAACATCTCTCATGTCGTATGATCTAAGAAGCAGTTAAGCTTCAGCAGGCTGGACTAGTCACTAGGAGTAGAATGATGCTATTATGGCGGATAATGAAAGTATAAAAGGCTAAGCATATTGAAGAACTGGGTTTAGACGCTGAGATAAAGACTGCTTTTCAATCCTGACTGATACATACCCTTTGCGTTAATATTAAGAGTTCATCTCTGGTATCGGAGCGGAATGGTTTAATCTACATACCAAATTGAACTTTGTATCCATACTAGTTGTAGTCGTTTGTGGTTAGGTATCTTGACATATAAATCTGCAACTTCAATTGAGCGGATCCATGTTTATCCCACATTCAGCCATTAGTTGGTAACTCCTCCATACCCACATAAACACAAGTTTCAAGAAGAGGTAGGGTTTCTCAGCAGCAAACAGATGTAAAGCGCGAGCAGCTTGCTGGCCCCAGTCACAGCAAACATTACAACTACCCACACGAACAGCTCCAATACCGTAATCGCCATGATTGACGTGAACACAAGCGTGCCCGCAGTGTAATAGATAGCCCACGTTAGCTGGACCGGCCAGGCTTCATCCGCTCCCTGCACGGCCGTCTCTCTGCCCGCTCTCCCTGATTTCTCTTCCCGCCAGCTGGCAAACATGCTATGGACCGCACCCGGGATAATCCCCACCAGACACCACGTCAGACCAAAGATCGGATACGGACAGCCGAGGGCACTGCGTTTAGAGTATATTTCCACAAGCGCCAACGCGGCATAGGCGACGAGAAGGATCACAAAGGTAACCGTCACAAATAGAGCTTTCGTGATGTTTGATTTCGCCTTAATATTAGTGAGCCACCCCGTTTGCATCCATGATAACCACTGCCGGAGGCGCTCCTCCTCTACATCTGTTGCAAGGGTGGGCTCCAAGCCCAGCGCCCTAACAGCCGTAGCAGCGAGGAATGGCAGCGGGGCAGATACCAGTACAGTACGCCGCTCGGGCCAGGCAATATCGCGTAGTGTTAGTGGCACCAAGCCCATCACAAGGGCGGTTGCTCCGTATTGCTGTTTGCGCGCCTCGTCGGCTTCCATGAAAGTGCAGATAGCGAAGCCCCAGCATGCCTGTGCAGAGTCGGCTGGATAGCGAAAGTATGGAACGAAGGGGGAATACACCAGCCCCGAGGGACAGCCTTCAACGTCATCGGCCAGCGCGCCGAGCGCGAAGAGTATGAATAGGGTAAGAATGAGGATAAATCGAGCGTTGCGGGCCATATCGTCCGTCCGCCTGTAAAGGAACGAGTTTGAAGAGTAACACCTGCACTCCGAATGAATGCTAAAGGGATCATAAGAATTATGCTTGTGGAGACGCAAATTGAAACAGCATGTTTTGTGTTCCTTCCGCGCAGACTAAATATCCACCAGCCGCGCTGGGGCTCTGGGTAAAAAGCTGAAGAAGTGACACACTGACCACCTGACAAAGTTTAGCTTCTTCGGTAGTCATCCTAGCGTTACTTTATCACGCAGAGGCAGTCCGCATGCCAGGATTTTGACAGCCATCTAACCAATAGATGCGTGAGGCTAAATCTATAATTATAGCTTTTAACCGCTAAAGAGGCAGGTCAACGCTCAAACTCGTATTCCTTCGCATTGATACCCAATAGCGCCCCCACGTCCCCGAGGCTGAAGATAAAGACGAGGCTTAAGTGGATGTAAAGGGGCAGGTGGAAATTGCTCGTTAATCCCACTAGGACGAATATGTAAAAGTGGCGGTCTGCCAAGCTCTGACCTCTTCCGCTGATTTTTTCAAGACCAGCAATAAGACCATCGAAGGGGGCAGCGAGAGACATTGAAGAGGTGCGCTGATGTTCCGAGGGATATGATATTGGTTGAGCGACAGGAACCATAGAAAACTACAGAAGTGAAGATGTAAAGAAAGGAAATGGCCTAATTGAGTTCCATTGACGGATGAGAGATCAGAATTTAGCGGACATTGTGCAGCGATCTTAACCGCTTCCAGGGCCATATGAGAAAGGAAGCCCTTGATACTGCATTAGTGTAGTTAGTTACTAATGTGAAATTAATAATCATCGCCCTCATGTTGTTTGTCAGTCCGTAGGGATAAAGGGTTAATGTTATCCGACAATATACCGAACGCTCCTGAGTTCTCTCCGTCGCCAGTAACAAGCTAAACTTTGATAGATACCGTCATTCATCACTTAGCAAATGACCTGTATGGGACCTAAGATCGATGCATTTTATCCATATATACAAGCAGCTCTGCCGTGCCACATGTCACATCCACCCTAAGTCAGTAAAGTAGAAGCAACGTGAGGAGATCTCTAACTGTCTTTTCGGTCTAGATTTCAGCGCTCACGGGGAGAAGCGACGTAAATTGAAGGAATCAGATTTAACAGACGAGAATATTAGAGGTGGATTTAATGAGGGTTACCGTGTGATAAACGAAAAATATATATAGAATTCTTACTACCACAACAGTTTTGAGAGGAAGGGGGTCTTTACTATAATTTTTAAAAAACAATGATTTATTAAGTAATCTGTAGTAATTAATATCTGAAATTGATTTATAGCAAAAATACCTTACCAAATTAATAGATAGAGAAAGAGTAATGAGATGGAGGGAAGGATAAGCAAACATGGTCCCACAGTTCAGCCGCGTCGGATAAGTTTATAGACTGTAAGGTACGGATGCTTAATCGGAGCGCTATACCATTCTAAGTAATTTGCCGTCACCATGGCACCTGCAAAGGAAACGAGGACTACGCAGACTTGGCACTACGTACAAAGCCCAGCTACAACTACTCAGTACCGTATACTCAGTAAACATGGACTCTGCAGGCGTAGCTGGTATGTCTCCCTCGAGTTTGCGGAGGAAACTTTACCAAAAAAATGTAACAAAAGAGATTGACCGACGCAGGGATCGAACCTGCAATCTCTTGATTCGTAGTCAAGCGCCTTGCCATTGGGCCAGCCGGCCGTTTGTTGAGATACCCTTTATACTTTTGCCAATATAAGCAAAATAATTATAAATAGACCTTCGCCCCAACGCATGATCTGTCGCCCCAGAATTTCTAGTTTCTGCAGAGCTAGTACGGAGTACGAGCAAGTCGAAAAGAGCGTTAGATCCAGGTTGCGCTCATGACGATATAATCCGTCCACTGTACTAGTCCCTGCAGCAGTATCCCCTTAAATAATATTAATATTTTCACATTGTCTTTTCCTTGTCTTCTTTTTTATTTTCGCATTCGTTTTAAATATGCATCTTCATTTCTTAACATCATGTGCATATTTCCATTCTCGCCCCGCAGTCCCCTTTCGTTCCCTTCGGCACCGCCTTCCCCATTTGATTAAAGGTGATATCCACTTCGGTTGGCGGTCTGTTTGTGCCCCGCCTTTGACAAAGTGGGGGAATGTTGAAGTCATCTCCAAGTCACATCAACCATCACTTTGATAATTGTTCAAGAATCGCTGAACGAATTCGCCGTCTAAAAATGCCTTCCCTTCAAGAGAGCAAGCTCGCCTTCATTGGCGGTGGCAACATGGCCTCCGCCATCATCGGAGGCCTCGTCAACAAGGGCGTCCAGAAGCAGAACATCTGGGTTTCCGAGCCTTGGGATGTCAACCGGGAGAAGATGGCGGCCCTTGGGGTGCAGACCACTACTGTCAATGTCGAAGCTGCAAAGGACGCTGATCTGGTTATTATTGCGGTCAAGCCGCAGGTTACCAAGGGCGTGTGTGAGGAATTGGGAGCTGCCTGGTCTCAGCGTACAACCTTGCCCGTTGTGGTCAGCATTGCCGCGGGAATCACCCTCGATAGCCTGGTTCAATGGCTCCGCACAAGCGACGGACGCAACGCGCACGTTGTTCGTGTTATGCCAAATACCCCAGCGCTCGTTGGTGAGGGAGCTTCGGGTCTGTATGCCAGCAAGGATGTAACGTCGGAAGAGAAGGAGCTCGTCAATGCTGTTCTAGGAAGTGTCAGCAAGGCAACCGAGTGGGTGGATAAGGAAGAATTGCTCGATGTTGTCACGGGGCTTTCTGGTAAGCTTTCTTCGTAAATTATGGGCCGTAAGGATGCGCATTGACACGGTTTAGGATCGGGCCCCGCCTACTTTTTCGCCATGGTGGAGCATTTGGTTGCTAGTGCGACTGCCCTGGGCCTTTCTGAAGAACAGGCTACTCGGTTGGCTGCACAGACATGTCTCGGTGCCGGCAAGATGCTTGTCGAGTCGTCGGATAGCCCGACTCAGCTGCGCAAGAACGTTACCAGCCCGAATGGAACTACGTATGCCGCCCTCCAGACATTCGAGTCGCTGGGCTTTAAAGAGACCGTTGATAAGGCTGTCAATGCTGCCACCTCCCGCGCAGCTGAATTGGGAAACACTCTTGGCAAGCAATAAACATCACGGAATTTCTGTGAGGGAAGTTAACATAGGAAAAGTGTCCAACGTACCTTGTATGTGTCCATAACCTCAAAACATTGATCATAGCCTGACAGTTCAATACTCGCTAGCATCCTCTAATTATTTGTGACCATCAGCGTATACATAGAATACCAAAAAGTCTATGAAGTCTGTACTGTATGAAAATCAAGCGACTATGCTGTTTCCCAGTAAATTCCCATGATGTGCAAGATAGATGAAGATGTCGAGATTCTTAAATGACCGTAATTCCAGCGGCGAGTGTTGCATTTGGGTCATCTTAGGTTAGCAAGGGGTTGCTATATAGGGTTTCTTTAGACTTTCAGAGCCGTGACCCTAACCCGTGCTGGAGTGATTGACGGTAGTTTACGAGCATGATTCTTTCATATGTAGTTTAATAAGGCAACAGCTTGTGTTTCCTCTTACTGATACTTTAGCTAACTCACATTATGTATTTAATCACTCGCTATATCAGAGTTGGATTAACCAGCTCTAATCATATATTTATATGTGAGTGTCTGGGATCCATATATCCCTGATCGCAGTTACTCCGTTCTGTAAGCGAGATGGCCCTAGGACTGTCTTTTACCGTACCTGATCACCTGACGCCCGCCTCCACCTGACGCCCGATTTCCTATGAAAACCAGAGTTAAAGATGAAGCTCTACAACCATATATATTGTTTACCATTGTCTGATTTTTTTTGGTGGTTTAATATTTGAACTATATAGAATAAATATAATTATTTTAATAATTCTGAAAGCACACCGATAGGTGGATCTGCCTATCCTAATAATTTATTCTATATGAAGTGACCCGACATGACAATCACATGACAAAAACCTGATTATTAAGCGCCTCAAGGGTGGCGCCACCTACTAGTAGGGTCTAACAGTAGCTGAGCTGCAACCACCCGATCAGGCTACCCAATAAGAAAAGCATCCATCGCTTCCAACAACCTAGGGCCGAGGATATCGTGTATTTAGCAGAGCTGGCCTCGAGCAATTCGAGAGGCAAGCGATTAGTTCTATGCAACCCAATCCCCTGCCCTTAAGCCCTTGTACCCATCTCTAGTTCCGATAGCGATCCGCAGTCGTACCGCTGGCTACCCGGCTCATCGGTACATCCTTCTAAGGGACCCAAGTGCATAGCATATCTAGTGCAGTGCTACCCCTTACAGTACAGTAAAGAAGGTCATAATCGCCTCAAATATCCAGATAGAGACAACGCCTAGTTTTATTCTATATAGCTTATTTATGTGAGTTAAATTGCTTTATTTCAATCGATCATTGAACCCCTGAGCGTTTTGGTAGGTAGGTAGGGTGGCCGCGGGCCGCCGGCGGTCCGTTGTCCGATTACATTATTAAAAAAAGAAAGCTTTAGCATAATTATACACTCGCCGGTACCCGCGGGTTATGTGTAGTAGAACCGCTAAGAACCGTTATAAACGGCAGTTTATGGTTCAAAAATCCCGTACCATGAAGAGGGGTAAAAGTCAGATCTGGGTCGCTTATCTAGCCGACTAGATAGGCGCCGGCGGCTTGGATAGTCGATGAAGTAAATTCTGGATAATAAAAGGGGTGGAATGTAATAAATGTTATATATATGGCTTCTGTACAATATTTGGCTGAACTAAATTCAATCTAACCCTTGCAACTATACTACACCGTATTTCAAAGCTTAGCAACATGGCCTCAAACGACGGCAACAAACCCCTCCTAAGACTGAGTTCCCGGGTTAAGAAGCTCTTGGATCTAGAGGCTCAGTTCACAGTTGGCGGCTTCGATCCTATGCCCTATTTCTTCGAGAAAGGTCAGGGATCTCTGCTATGGGTGAGTGTAGATAAGAGGCATAGCATAGAATCTGCAAGTTGACACAAGAAACTCATGATCACAGGATGTTGATGGAAAGAGATACATCGATTTCATTGGCATGTTCAGTGCCGTTAATACGGGACACTGCCATCCGGACATCCAGGAGAGGATGATTGAGCAGTTAAAGAAAGGTATCCCAGGTAACCTGGAATTCTGCTAGATGCTATTTGGCTGACTCTAGATTCTACTAAAGTCACCCTGGTCAATCTATCGGCTCACACTTCCACGTTCGCTCCTTTCGCTAGGAGGCTCTGTACCCGATTTGGCTACGACAAAGTAGTCGCCATGACGTCTGGCACAGAAGCAGCAGACACAGCCTGCAAGATTGCTAGACGGTGGGGGATCAACCAAAAAGGCATTCCAGCCCAGGATTGCCTTGTGCTCGGGGTCGGTGGTTCTTATCATGGACTCGCTTCGGGGGTCTGGAGTCTGATGAATTCAAACCCATTGAGGTCAACAAGTAAGTCAGATACTAATCCAATACATTATCATGACATGCTGAAGATTGACTGGGAAAGGGTATGGCCTTGACAGCAAAATTCAGATGAATGCCAACCCTGGAACGGGGGAATTGCTGGAATATCTCGATCTGGAGAAGATGAGAGTTTGTCTGGAAGAGCATAAAGATCGGGTAGCAGCGGTGATTATGGAGTGCATCCACGGATATAGCCGGTGACTTCTGATGCCGTTTTACAATGATAAGGCTCGTATTTGTGCTGATTCTTGGCATAGAGATGTGAATGAGGAGATTCACTACGCCCGAGGCGTTTATGAACTCTGCAAATCCATGAATATCCTCTTCATCGCAGATGAGGTTCGGCAAGGTGTAGGGAAAACTGGAAAGTTTTTCAGCTTCCAACACCTGGGTGACGACGTGAAACCCGATATTGTAACCATGGGAAAATCCATCACAGGGGGGTTCTACCCTCAATCGTTCATTATGGGCTTAGACACCGTCATGGCATCTGTCGGCCCATACGAGATGGCTAGTACCTACGGCTTCGCCCCACTAGGGATTGCGGCCGCGAACGCGACCCTTGACGTTATTGACCGAGAAAATCTGATTCAACGAGCCGTCCACCTAGGAAACCTGTGGAGGAAAACTGTCGAATCTTGGAACCATCCCCTCGTGGACTATGTTGCACAGATCGGTGCCGACTCCAACTTGATCCTTCGGGAAGTGCAACCCTCGCGGATAGTAGCCTTGTGTATGCATCGAGGGCTATTCGTGTATCCTAAAGCAGACGGGATACGACTCAGCTTCGCCATGACCATGTCGGACGAGCTGCTGCTGGAAGGAGCAGCTATTCTGAAAAGCTGTCTGGATGATGTGGACAACTACGGGTCGATTGAAGGGGAATCGACACGTTATGGGCCAGTTTAGATTTTTAGGGGGAAATTTCACCCATTCAGGTGCCCTGCACAGTATTGCCATTTTGACCGGTTGATCTAGACCTGGCTAAAAAATCAGAGCCTTCAGAGCCAGATGAAACAAGCATGCCCAATTTCACAAATTGTTATATAACGCTTCCTGAAAACCCTGGGACTGTGTGGATTCGCAGAAGGTCCTCAGTTTGGTGAGGTCCCTGGGGCGAGTGGTTGTTGAAACCCGGATATTGCTTTGGTAGTTAAAACCCTGAATCGAGGTATGAAAGTGATGCTTCTCTCCATTAGAGCAAATGCAACCATTGTAGTCCCTGTGCTGTAAGTTTATCCCAAAGATGCTATAGGCTAGGCCAGAAATCGCGGACCGATGGAGCTCTATCCTCAAGGACAGTGAAAAGATCCGCTCAGTTATGAATTTATTCTTGCGATACTTTAAGCCGATTTTCATTGTGTATATTTCTTTTTGTGGGTCAATCAGGTTACGCCAGAGTTCTATGACGAAGTCTAAAACTAGTGTTGGCTCGACGATCTTCGCACCCTCAGTTGTAGTAGTTTCAAGTCCGTAGAACTGCAGACAGGTGAGCCCTGCAATCTACGTTCTGGGGCTAATCTGATAAGCCCACCAGGACTTGGTAGATAGAGGACACTGTCAAACTCTGGGATCCGTCTAAGCTGCGCTGACTGCTACTATAGATAAGTTTAAGCACTGGTGATCAACCCAGTTGATCCTAAGACTAGTAATACTTATCCTAAGAGCTCTATAGCGTTTATAAATACGGTTAAGGTCTTAGTGAATCTAACTAAAGTTCTGATAGATAAATATAATAATCAAAAGATTCCTTTAAGTAGCGAAGATAGAAGTAAGGTGTTACAGACCCTTGACGCAACAGTCAGTGGACAAAGATGAACACCTCAAGTATTTGAGGACAAGGCTGATCACTGAGTGCTCACCCGCCCCACTGAGCACTAGAGCCAATACTGAAAGGCGGTTGGTACCTAAAGGATTATTCTAAGTGTAAATGTCTCGGAAGTCATGTATAAACTTGAGGAGCAGTAAAACACTGAACGTGAGCAGGTCTCCAATTCATTCACGGACTTATAAATCTGCCCATACATAGAATCACGGATTTTGTTGATAGCCTATACCGTAGGTGATCACCTGACGACCGGTCCCACCTGACGATCGATTTCTAGATACACCGACTTTTTAATCGTAGATTTTAAACCACCACAGCTCATTCAATATAGGTTCTATCGAGGCGGCGTTAGCTGAAATAGAATCCTTGAAGCCAGGAGAATCAATTAATTATACTAAAATTATAAAGTCTTATGGTGTGAACCGAATAACACTTTTAAGATATTACCGCGGTGTACAGGGCTTGAAAAAGGATTAGTATAAAAATCAGCGAATTCTTAACAACCAGCAAGCCAAAGAGCTTATAAAATAGATAAATAAGCTCTGTGACCGTGGTCTATTTTCTATATATAAAATACTTCGAAATTTTATGAAAGAAATTACTGGGGTTAAGCCTGGAAATTACTGGCCAAGCCGCTTTTTAAAGAGGTATTAGGAAGAGCTTATTTCTTGCTATATAACTGGTATAGATTTCTCACGCAAGAGAGCTGATTCTGTATATAAATATACTTTATACTTTGAGCTTTTGGCCAGAAAAATCCAGGAATATAATATACAGTCGGAGAATATATATAATATAGATAAGAAAGGATTCCTTATTAGAGTACTTTCTAAAGGCAAAAAGATCTTCTCTAAATAACGATATAAAAAGGATAGCCTTAAGTAATACTTACAGAATAGTAATCGAGAGTGGATTACTACAATTACTTGTATATATATAGACAAGAGCTCACTGTCTTCTGGCTTAATATATTAAGTAGTATCTAGTAAAATATAGAATTTCTGGCTTTAAGATTTTAAAACTATAAATTACTAGTATTTTTTGCTTCTTCCTTTTCTAGATAGATTAATAATGAGCTAGAATTTGTATAGCTTAGGGATATATTTAATCGAGAAATAAAAGATAAAACTAGAAAATACTGGTATCTTTTAATTCTTAATAGCTATAGATCTTATATTACTATAAAGTTTATTAACTTCTGTGAAGCTAACAAGATTTATTTAATAATTTATCTATCTTATTCTACATATTCCCTATAGCCACTTGATGTCTGTATCTTTGGATCTTTATCTACGGTCTATAGCAACGAGCTGGAGGTATTTTTATATGTCAGTTAGGGTCTAAGTTATATTACTAAGTAAGATTTTTTTAGACTATTCTGGCCGAGCTGGAATAAGACCTTATCTACAAGTAATATCGAGAGTATATGGAAATTAAATCCTAAGCCAGCAAAATCAATTCGGGGGAACATCAAAATCAACACCCAATCTAAACACGTCATTTTAACGCGTCAATCGATCGAGAAAGGCCCCCTGAGGCCTCAGGAACCGCTATGGAGGCCCCAAACCCCCATGGTGGTGGTCTACCGAACGCGTCGAGATGGGCACCCCCGAGCGGGATACCACCACCACCGTCACCACCATCACCAACACCGATATATCGAGGGGGCCCTAGGACCCTAGATATACCCATAGATCTGGGACAGATAAGCTACAGCGAATCTAGCAGGGCCCCAAGCAGGGCCTCTAGC